ATTTTGATTAGCCAAATCCCTATGTTTTTTTAAGTTAAAAACGATGTTTTGGAATCGAACAATAGCACTATCTGACATCAATCACTGCTAAGCCATGGTTTAATGTTTGCTTTCAGTGTACCTTTTCGCACTGAACACGAATCTTAACTTAGCAACTTATCATGACTTCATCCAAGATTTCACCAAGGGATTCCCATGCTCTGCCTCGGCATATTAGATTTAAAACTGTTCCGGCAGGCGATGCAAGTACTCAACGAGAAGCGGCCCCACAAGTAAATAGTCTAATCTATTTGTGTTTTTATTGTGAGATTTACGCTATAAAGCCAAACCTCTAACAATACAAGTCTAGTGAATGAATCCGAAGGCACAAGGCTCAATAACGTCTTGCTAAAGATTTACAGGGAAGATTTCACCTGCTTAAAGACTTTATCAACCGATGTCTTTTTACCAGTTTTAAGAGTGTACCTTCCAATTCGAGGCGTCAATCAACCTGCGACTCTACGTAGTACATGTTAACTTGAGTTAAATTTATCCTTAAGGAAGGTACCATGACCACAAATAAAATGTTGATTAATCATTACAGTTATCTGGTTAAGCTGCATTAGCTTTAGATCAAAGTATAACATTTTTAGTCATAGAGGGTGACATGATTAAAGGGTAATGAACCTACATTATGCATGTACTCCACCAACGGATGGTACTTTATCCTCTGATATGATCTGGCAGGTCACATTGTTGGTTTTTGCGGTTCTAAATGAAGTGGATCTACTAATAGGCCTTCTCTATAGATCCTTTTAATTGCACCACAGCCGTTCTAAATTAGAGGTTTTTCTTAACGGTGGGCACCAAGGCAACTATGCTTTTGTCTAAATGATCACGAACTGTTAGCAACCTAGTTAACTTTTTAAGTCAAATGCTCGTGGCCGACTTATTACCTATTTTCCAGGGATGGGGCTTACGATTAGAAGAGAGATCAAACAGCGATAACAAGTATGTAAATATTTGGTGTTAGTGATACACCTAAAACGTCACAATCCCCTTTCACTGGGCGATCTGTTAAGTCCTTTGGACCAGTAGCAATGAAACCTTTTTTGTTGTTGTTTTGACAAACCTCTTTCTTTTGGCGTTTTCTTGCCTGCTATTCCATAAAAGCTTTAAAAGTTTAATTTTTACCCATTAAGATGCTGGCGGGATACTTGAAAATCTATTAAGATCAAATTTATGCGTAACCTGTCTGTTGATTTGTAAGCAGCAAGCAGTATTATATTTACCCTAGCCACCTTAGGGAAATGGTGCCAGCTATCTCTTATTTTATACCATTGACTAGTTGTTGGGTTATAAAAGATTAGATTCGTTAAACTATCATACCGGAATAGAGAGTTGTCGTCGTAGCTCAACGGTTAATGTCATTGACGCGCAAACTTAAGGTCGTGGGTTCGAGTCCCACCGACGCGACTGTCTTTTGGTCTATGATGGTCGCGTAAATAACCTCGCCCTCATAAATTCTAATAGGTTATAACAAGATTTCAAACCAATGAAAATTTAAAGCATTTATTATAAAAAGTGTTCAATTCGACATCCAATAAATGGTTTATGGATATCTAAATAGTTTGGAACAACTGCATTGATTAGTCTAATTATCTCTCCTTGTCTCTCTATTTTATTTTTTAATCTTAACTTTTTATTTAATTTTATTTAAATTTATACATATTTTTTTATTTGTTCATATTTTTCTACATTTTTCTCTAAATACTAACGGGTTGTGCCCTTATTGTGTGTTATAACTCTCACTTGACCCGGGACGCCTACGTATACAGAAAAGAAAAGTTCCGTTATAATATTTTTAGTTTTTAAACCTGTGCGTTATGCCTTTTTTAAAGAGAACTCTTAAAATTAACAATTAAAAAATTAAAATTAAAATTCTAGACCTCTGACTTTACTCTGAAGAGTTTTAATCTGTAACACCAGTAGTTTTATATTAGTACTTTTATGAGTATTCTTATTACATTAAAGTTGTTGTTGTTATATTGTTATCAACGTTGTAACTTTGGATTAACATTATAAATATTACTACTAATACAATTGCTACAATAATTGTTATTACTGGTGCTATTATTGCTATAGTTATTTCAGTTTTTATAGAAGATAACTTTGCAAGTCTTATTTAAAAAGTTATTATAATAACCCATAAATTTACTGTCCTTCGAAGTTTATTTTATAGATGCTTAAGCTTTTTCTAAAAGTTGTTGCGAGGAATAAAGATCAGCAGTAGCAGGGTTTAAAGTAGTAAAGAATTGCCTCGGATACTTGTATATATATATATTTTCTATCTTTTGTTTTTTCTCCAGGTGCTGACACTCCGTCTTTTTTAGATCTAACTTATTTGAGTTTTTTTGGTTCAGTATTTACTGGAGCATAACTCATCGCAACTTTTCAGTGGAAAATAAAAAGTATAGAAAGAAGCGTATTAGTTAAGTGCAGAATATAAAATATAAATATAAACTAAAGTTATATACATAAATAAGTTAGTAAATGTAGGTTCGTTAAGCTTAGCAGCAGCTTAAAATAAGTTTGAAAGAGTATACGGGAACCTATTGCACAAACCGTCCTAATTCAGTTTTTGATAAACAACTTTCTAATTGCAATACTATTACAATATTAAGGAATCTTTAGGTACAAAGTAAAAAAACAGCACCAAATTTCCGGAACTTAACTTAAAAATTTAACGTGTAGGGCATATCCGGTAGTGAATTGCTTCTAGAGCTCTTGAAATATCTTCTACGTAAAAAAAATGAATTAGAATAACTTAACAGAGCAAAAAAAAAAATGCGAAGCAAGGAATCTTTCTTGTGGATAACATAGTTTTTTATCTTAACAGGTAGAGCTATAAACTGCTAAAATAATCTAAACGTCACTTTTTTAATAGTAACTTTATAAGTTTTGGAAATAAATAAAAGATTGATAATAATTCAATAATAAATGAGTAAGATGTAAAACAATTAAATAATTATAATATAATAATAAAACAGAATAAGGTAAGTGAAATTTTTATTAAAAAAAAAGTTATTTAAAATACATATTTGTAAGTCAAAATCTTGCTTACTTTACTGCTATGAACTTTCAGACATGTTTATTTCTCTTTTAGTAGTTAATTCTCCTGTGTAAAGCGTGTCACGGGTTAATAATAACAATTTAATGGATTTAGTATAATTTAATTGTTCCCCATTATAATAATAACACTATACATAAGTTTGGAACTGGACCTGAAAAGTTGTACTAAACCTGTAAGAGAAGTTTTATCGTTTTAGGTCGTTTTTAGAACTATTTCAGAAGGGACTTCTTTGTTTGCCCTGTTAAAACACTTAATTTACTTTGAAAAAAAAAGTCTTTCAGACTTTGTCTTAGTTTTAGTGTTAGCCTTTCATATTACAAGCATATTCGTACTCTGAAATAGATTTCTTAAGCTTCAAGCCCAAGCTTTGATAATTGCAAAAATTGAAGCTTTAGAGCACACTAGTTAAATTTTAATTTCCGCAGTATACCTTATTCAAAGTTCTTCCTGCATTTAAAATTGTACTACCTACCTTTGTTTGATATCTTTTCTGTAATCAAAGCATCCAAGAGAAATAGTAAAACAAATTTTAATTTTTAGCTTATATTATGAAAAATAACATGTTTTTACTTTGTGATTAGTAAAAAAAAAATTAAAGATATTAAATTCTATACTATACCTTATTCTTGAGAAAATAATAATCATACTTTATAAAGAGAATAGTATAAAATATTATTAATACCAGTGATCGGTGCCAAAGCTCAATTGCAAATTTTTTTTTTAGCGTACATTTGGTTTAAATTTAAAATTTTTATAAACTTTACACTTTGGATGTCTAGAATTGCGAGAGAGCACTTAGTAAATAAAGTAAAACTTATATTGAAGTTCTTATGATATTAATATTTCCTCTCCGCTTGTTGTTAGGTTGCAAAACTTATTAAAGTTAGTAAAGAAAAAATTCAAGTTTTTCGAGAATACGAACCTGACAGAACTGGTAACCTTCAAAATTAGAATAGATTTAATTAATTATTAATAATTATTTCTTTTAGTACATAAGCAGAGCTTTTATTATTTGTAATAATTCATTTACTGATAATAACATTCAAATAGTTTTGAGCTATAACTAAAATGTTTAGCCTGTTTTTAGCGAAATAGTATCAAGCTGCCTTGCTAGGTTTTTATGAGCTATTTATTATTATATATAAAAGTATTCTTTCAAAGGATCTTTAAAAATAATTTTTATATTTTTTTTTTTATTTTTTCATCTGGAATTTACTTATTTAAATGCACTTTAAGCATTTTCTATAAGACTTCCGAATTTGTGCGAGGTTTCCTCTACTGCAATTAGTTCCGCTTTTTTGAATCTGAATAAGCAATACTTTTCTGGTTACGCTTTTCCAGAAAAAAGAGAAGAAGATTCACCTATTAGAAAATTTCTTTTTGATCTTAATACCGATTATATTACAAGAAATTCACTGGAAAGAATTTTTTATAAAAAGGTCTTTGTACTTTTCGTTGTAGTATGTATTAATTTGGTAATAATTTTTTTGTTACAATTGTAAACAGTCTTTTACTTTATACTAATTTTAGCATATAATGTTGTTTATCTCACTTTGTAGGTTATTTTTAATTCTTTAAGGAGATTTTTGTTTACAATTTTCTGCTACTTTAGATTTATTATATAATTTTCTTTGAAAAAAAATTAAATTTATAATTATAATACTATTAATATTTGTTAAAGTAAGTTTCTTATTAAATTTATTATAAAACTTGTTGCTCATGCTAATATGTTTCTCTGCATTGTGTAAAATTTAATATCGCTCCTTTTTTAAGAAGTTAATCAAGAAAATTAGCATTAGTTAATTTACTTTTTTACTTATTGTGATCACTTAAATAATTTTAGAGTTTATACGGATTTGAAGAACAAATTGGAAAAAATAAAAAAGTTATAATAGAGTTTAGTTCACCTAACATCGCCAAGCCGTTCCATCTTGGCCATCTAAGGTTTATAAACAATTTTTATAAAAATCTATTAATTAATTTTTTTAATTCATTATCTAACAATTGCATAGAATTATCTTAAATGTAATACTAGCAAGTTTTTTCTAAATATCTTATCATCCTTTTAAACCTATCGAACTTCCCTATATTAAAAATTTTGTAAAATAATACAAATAAATTTATAAAAGTGAATTATAACAATTAGTATATATAAATTTTATATAAAATAAATTATTATAACTTCAATGTTTAGATGCATTCTCATGTTATAAACTTTAGCACGTATAATATAAAAAATTTATTCTGACGTAATTATTTTAATAAAATTATTTAATTTAGTAAATCATAATTTTTAACTTTTAAATTACCCAAGAAATGCAAATATTTTACTTCTATTATAAAAGAATTTGTAAACATGTACTTTACTAACGCATCCCCCTTAATGGTCATTTTTTCCATTTAATATTTTTTTAGGAGAATTTTGTTTTGAGATTATAAATATTTATAAACTTTTTATCTTTTCCTAAAGATTTATAAAAAGTATTTTTTCTAGATGATAAATTTATATAGTGTTTATAATTTTTTTCTATTAATATCTTTATATTTTTTCTGCACAAACTTATTTCTATTATGTTTTTTAAGCCTTAATATTAAAAAATCAGTATTTTTATGTTTTTAATTTTATTTTTTTAGATCCACCATTATTGGAGCTTTTTTGTCAAACATTCACGAGGTTTATCTCTGATATTCTGTGTATAATAAAACGTAATCAATTTTTTGGTAGCGACTTGGTTATAAGTGTGTCAAAATAAATTATTTGGGCGACTGGGGAACCCAATACGGTACCCGATTGGCAATAATAATTATTTTTTCTGTTACATATTTTGAATTTAAAACAATTTTTTTAAATTTGACTTTTTTATTTTTATCATTAAAATTAGTGGCATAAATATTTTATTCATTACAAAAAAAATAATGAACTTAAAAAATTGTGAATTTTTTAACATCAAAAAGGAACTTTTAAACCTTTACTAAATGCTTTTTTCAACCAATCCAAAGGAAGCATATTTTTTAATCATTTGCTATGAGGGTTACCATAGGGGCAGTTAGGAGCGTTGTGTTTTTCTTTTTTATTGTAATTTGTAATATACTAAAAGTTATTATTAATACAACTTTTTAAAACGGTTTCTTCATTTTTCGACTCAAATACTCAACATTTTATATAAATAAAGATATTTTGGCTCTTTTTTTGTCATTCAGTTGAGTATACTTATTATTAGTGAAAATTTTATTGCGTTATAGAAAACATTAGTTTAACATTGTAATCTTATTGGATACACATGTGGCCTCTAGTGTCCTAAAAGGCGTCTAATTACACCTTTTTATATTTAAAGTTCCCGCTTGCCTTCTACATTGAATGTATTATAATTATATAGTAATATTCCCTATATAAAAATATACTTCTCTATATTTGTTTATTTTATTATTTATTTTTTATTACTTTTTAGTAATAATCATAATTTTTTATTTTCAAATTCTATTGTGAAAAATTTTTCATAATACTTTGTTTACTTTTTTTTTTATAATGAATATATTATTTATGTCTACTATAGTATTAAGTTGTTTTAAATATATATATATAATTTTTTCTATATTTAAATGATTTATGTATTCGCGTTCATATAATTTTTGAGGTCTGCTGGCTGTTGGCTACCAAAAATACGGCAATCCAATAGAACTTGAGAGAAATGCCGTCAAGCATTTATATGATATTTACGTAAAAGTCTCGCAGGAGTATTACACACGCACATCTATTAACCTTTTTATTATTTATTACTATTTAAAAGGGCCAATCACAACAAGGGATTTCATGCAGAAGCACGTGCTATCTTCCGTTCCATGTGCAGCGGAAATAAAGAATTACTCGACATGTGGAGTAACTTTAGAGAGCTGAGTATTCACGCTTACGCACAAGTTTACAAGCGGTTGCATATTACTTTCGACCACTTCGAGTTTGAGTCCCAGGTCACTATTTTTACTGCTGTTTTATGCACGCACGGTAAGTCACGTGTTTGATGAACGCTACTAAAAAAACCAATGAGAAGTAAAAGGAGCAATAGTATTGTTAAAATGCCTTAATATATATTGTGAAATGTTAGCAAAGAAATTAGACCAATCAAAAGTTATGTCGGGATTGGTGTTACATTTTTATATTATAACAGGTTTACGAATAAACATTGCAAAAAAAATAGTGATAGTTAAAGACCTTCCCTACTATATCAACAAATAAATATTTATATTTTATAGGAAAAAATCTATAAATATGTGATTTTTGTAAAATATATCTATAACTTTTAGGATTGGTTATTTTTATCTTCAGTAAATATCTCATCAGTTTTTTTTACGACTTACATATTTTTTATGAAAAGTTTTTAAATATAATATAAAACTTTAAAGAACTTTTATTAAACAATTTTTTCATTTTCTAAAAATGTTGAACTTTTCATTATAATTAATGATTGTATATAGAAATATTTTAATTTCTTGATAAACAAAATTATTATTTATACAAGATGGAAGCGTTTTTACCCAAAACGCTCTCCGAACTTTCAAGACTAAACTGCATAAAGAAGACCAATCAGGGAACTGGTTTATACTCCGACTTTAACGGAAAATTTTCCCCCGCTGGTAACTTTTTTATTATTACTAAACATTACTTTTGTTTATTCTCATCACATTTCTTTAAATGCAATTTATTTATACAAAAATAGTAAACTTTTCGTACTTTTATGGAAAAGTTTGTTCGTTATTATATTTTTATGAAAAAAGTATTATATACTTTTTAAGGCTTTTATTTCATAACTTTCATTAAAATCCTCTATAAAAATATATTTTTAAAAAAATTATGTTTGTTAAAAAATATTTGTATTATAAAAGTTTATACCTTTTTATAATGCTTATTATTGAAAGAAAAACTTGTATTATTAACTTTAACCTTTTTTATACCCAAAAAGTGTTAATCAAAGATGACGGCACCAGCGTCTACCTTGCACGTGACTTGGCAGCAGTTTATTCCCGCCTCGCGACCTATGGCGAATTTGATTGGATGCTTTACGTTGTGGGGCACGCACAAAAAATTCATTTTTGCCAAGTTCGCTTTTATATATATTTTTTGTCCTTTTTTTATGAGTTCTTTTATATATAAATTATTTTGACTATTTTTATATTTTTATATTTTTTATAGCTTTTTTACTTATTAAAAGAGTTGGGCTTCAATAAAAATAAGTTTATTCATATTCCTTTTGGAAAAGTTTTGGGAATGAGCACAAGAACAGTATATATTTTTATAAATATATAAAAACTTTTTCTTATTATTTTTTTCAGGGAAATTCAGTTTTTCTAGAAGATATTATCAATAAATCTAAAGAACTCGTCAAAAACTACATGATAAATAAGTTTAATATAACTTTTAATATTATAATTACGAGTTTCCTAACTTTTCTATATATATTATAAAGTTTATTGTTATTATTTAAGTATATTTTTATTATTTATACGAAAAAAGTATGCTCTCCAAAGTTTCTCGGAAAAGTATAGAGGAAGCTTCTGAACAACTCGGCATATCGGCGGTTATGGTAAACTTTTTTTCATTATTATTATTTTGTTCGACTATTATTTAAAAAAAAGGTTTAAAAAAATATTATAAAGTAAAATAATATTAAAAAATATTAAATAGAATATTAAAAAAAAAAGCATAAAAAAGTTTTAAATATATTATTTTTCGAAATATTAATAAAAAAATAAAAGCTTACAAAAAGGTTTAATATATATATTTTGTTTTAAATATAATAATAAATAATCGTATAAAAAAATGTTTTTTTTAATATTTTTTTATAATTAAAATAATAAATAAACTAATTATAATAAATAAATAATAAACGAGAAAGTTATAAATTATTTATTTTTTATAAAATAAAGTTTTTTTTATAAATATAAAAAAAAGTTTGAAAAAATAATTTTAGTTAAATAAAACAGTTATTATAATAAATAAAAATAAAAGCTATAAAAAAAGTTATAAATGTTATATTTTAAATATAATAAAAAAAGTATTCAAGTGTATAAAATATATTTAGTAATATAAAATAAAAAAAAATAAAAGCATATAAAAAGTTTAATGTTTTATTTTATCAGTTAAATAAAAGGACGTTTTCATCGTTTTAAATATCTATAGTAAGTACACTTTTTTTACAAAAGTAATTTTTCATTAATTTTATTTTATTCATGTTATTTTGTATTTTATTAATGTTATTTATTACATTATATTTTATTAGTTTATATTTAATTGTATTAGAAGTTTATTAAATTATATAACGAGCCTAACCGTAATCTCAGAGTGTTTAGTGGTGCTTGTACCTTATATGCTTGATTTGAGCGTATTGTATGAGCATTGTTGGCTATTCTTGGCCAATTTTGGGCTGGGCGTACTGTTTCCTGCAGTTGCGCTTCGGTTCGGGTTCGGGTTGGCTACAAAACCAGCATTGCTGGTTCCTATATTGGCTCGCCCAATTATGGGATTAACATTACTGGAGTAGAATAAAAAATTAATGCTTATAATTAAAAAATATTTTCAGTTTTTAAAGTGATTATTAATTAAAACGTAATAAAGATTTTATGTTAGTAAAAAAAATAAATTAAAATATTTTGTTATAAATAGAGTAATAATAAAAAATATTTTTAGTTAAAAAAATAATAATTACCATAATAAAATATAATATTTTGTTTTTAAATAATATAATAAGTAAAAAAAATAAAAGCAAAAAAAGTTTTAAAAAATATCTTTAGTTTAATAAAATAATAATCATAATGAAAAATAAAAGCATATCAAAGGTTTATAAATAAAATGAAAAAATGCTATTTAAAATATATTGTTACTAAAATAATACTTAAAAGTAAAAGCATACAAAAAAATTATAAATAATATTTTTATTTTTTTAAATCTTTATATTTATTGTACTAACATTGTCTAACTTTTACTTGTATTTATTATAAACTTTATACTTCTGTTAGGTTCAAGATCTTAAAGGAAGTATAGAAAAGTCATATGAATTCTCGTGGGAAAGGTTATTTATAACTTTTCATTGGCTGCTATTTTTATCAACAAGTGACGAACTTGTTATATAAATAATGAATTTATTATATTTAGTGATTAAATCATTTGCAACTAAAAATTTTGTAGTGTTTTTCTATTTTTATAATTCTGAAACTTTTTTTAATGACCATGTTGTTACCAACCAATGAAATTACAGAGTTTTGAATTTTAAGGGATATACAGGAATTTATTTGCAGTATCAATATGCCCGCCTTTGCAGGTTTTTTGCTTATATTTATAATTTTTGGGAAAAAAAAGACTAAATTTTTCTGACATTATTTTTTTACATTTATTGTATTACTTTTATTGGTAGAATTTGTTACCATTTTTTTAATTGGTTAAAATTATTTCACTTTTTTTTATTAGGTGAATTTTTCCTTAAATAATAATAAAACTTAAACATACAAGACATATATATTAATAAATTTTTTGATACGTATTTTTTATTTAACTCATTAAAAAAATATTATCGTTAATTGCCTCCAGTTTATAGGCTACCTTTATATGGTAAATAAAAGTAATGTTCTTGAGAAAATAAATTTGGCGCATTTCTATATGAATATATGTAAACTTTTTTTAAAAAAATACTTAGAAAAAAAATTATATAAATAATTGTAAATAATATTTCACAATAATTTATGTAAATATGTTTAAATTATATTAAAATTATGAATACCAACAAAAAGTTTTGCATGTTCATAATTAAATAATAATAATAGATATTAATGTAAGTTATTCAATATAAAGAAAAAATAAGTTTTATATAATTTCAAATCATGAGAAATTATAAATATTCAAAATAAATTGAGTTTATTTTAAAATAAAAGTTTTATATAATAATGAATTAAAAAATAAATATTTAATGAAAAATATTAATATAAAAACTATAAATATTAACAAAAGTTATATATAAATAAAATTTTTCATTAGTATTAAATGAATACATTAAAAGTTTGTATAATAAAATAAATATTTTTTCTATTTTAATAATAAAAGTTAAAAAATAATAATAATAAGTAAAAGCTTTAATTGTTTTATGAATTTTTAAATTTTTTTTCATGATAATTAAAAAAAGTTAAATAAAATATAAATGAACAGTAAATATATTTATAAGTAATAGAGAAAAACAAGTTTATTATAATAATGATAATTATAGAAAATGTATTAAAATAATGAGAAATAGTAAAAGTATAAATATTAATAGAGTAAATGTTTTATTACTATAATAACAATAAAAAGTTAAATAAAATAATAATAATATAAGTAAAAATTTATGAAAAGTTTAGATATAAAGAAAAAAAAGTTTATTATAGAAATAATTAAAAATAGTTAAAATAAAATAATAATGATAGTAAATATATTTATAAATATGAATAATAGAGAAAAAAGTTTATAACAATAATTCTACGAAGTTGTAATAAAATAATAATAGTAAATAGTAAATATTTTTATAAAGTATAAATAATAAAGAAAAAAGTTTAAAAATAATATTTCTTTATGTATTATTATTTTTATTTATTATATATTTTTTGTTACGTTTATTAAAATTATCTTTCATTTCGTGTTTGGGATAAAGCAAAGTGTTTCATTACTTTTAAATATTATTTTATTAATAGCGAACAATAATAAAAAGTATATAAAATAGAGAACATGTAGAATAATATAATTCTTAACAAAAGTTATTATAATAAATACTCCAGAAGTAAAATCAGCAAAGATTTTTATAAATTTCTTATAGTAAATAAAGTGGAAATAAAATATATAATAAAAAATAAAATTAATAATAAAACTTTTATTTTATTAATAATACTCAATATAAAAAGTTTTTTACTATTTATAAAAATATTGAGAAAAGGAACTAGTAGGAAAAATAGTAAATATAATTATAAGAAAAAGGAGTTTTAAATGTTTTAAAAAATCATTACAGCAATTTTATTAATATTTTAAAATCTTTTCAGGAAAACGCTCCAAAAATTTAGTAAGAATATTTAAATATTTATTATAAATTATTACATAAATATAATTATTTTTGTGATAAAAAACAACATTCCATAAATTCGACCGAATTTTATATAAAACTAAATTTAAAGTGAAATTTATTAACGAGCGGCATTAAAAATTTTATATAAGAACTTATTCTTTATTGGTTCAATTTTTTTTTTTTTTACAATTTTATAATTTAACGAAATTTTATGTAATTTTTCAAAAGTTTTCATAAAAGTTCATCAAAAATTATTACAATTTTTTTAAGAATTTTTTATGGCCCAACAACTTTAAGCATAAATATTTAGGATTCATGCTTAATATAGCAAATATACTAGAATAAGGATCTATACAATATAAAAAAGTAGTGATGAGTACGATAGGCTAAGTAGTAAATATTCTAGGAATATAGTGAATAATAAATTTTTTTATTAATTTTTTTAATAAAATATTTATTAGTATCGAACGTGAAAATAAAGACATTGTGATTGGCTCTTTTGACGAGGTGGATATGGAATGCTTGCAAGGAAGTTACGTGGTTAACATTACGCGCCTACTGGATATCTTTCCGGAGGTCTCCTCACTAAATTATTTGCCACATAAAAACTTAAAGTTTGCTATAACCTTTTCACGCATTTTTTTTTATTAATATTATATTCTTTATTTTTCCTACATAAGAAAAATTGTTTAAATTCTCATAGTTTTTAGAGGGGGTTCTTTTTTTTTTTTTAATGTTTTCTTTCCCCCAACATTTTCTATTTTTTTTTTAAAGCAACATAACTCTATTTTTTCATTCGCTAATCATACTAAAATAAAAAAGAGGACTAACAGAAAACAAAAATGGGCAGATTTCTTAGTTTTTATTACTATTTTGAATATAAAAATAATTAGTCCCAACTTCACTATTTATCATTATATGTATAACACATTCACTTTTTTTATGTTATTATTAGTAATTAGTTTTATCATAATACTTTTATATTTCCATTTTATTTATTAAGTAAATATTTTTGCTTTTACTTTTTTTATGAAATATTTCATTATTTTTTCTTAATTATTTTTATAATAAAAGGTCGTTAGGGAAGCGCTAGACAGAAGAGAGCCATCAAAAATAGTGCAGTATTCGTTGCAGCTCGCAAAGGCCTTTTCGAGCGCTTCGAAAAATCTCTACGTAAAGGACCAACCAGAAAACATAGCAAAGGCGCGCTTATTGCTAATTGGCTGTACAAAAACGATCTTACAAAGTTGCTTGGAGTTACTAAATCTGAAACCCCTCCAAAAAATATAGACCGATTGAAGAGGAGTTTATTTAAAGTAAACAAATAAAACTGTATCTTTAATTTTCCATTTTATTATTCGGTGTCTATCACGTGGTTGGGCACTATTGTTATTGCGTTACCACTGCTAAGCTCCACGCGGACATCTTCTCCATCTCTGATTTCTCCTTTCAGAATTTTATTGGACAAAGGAACCATCAGCTGTTTGTTTATGACTCTACAGCAAAGCAATCACGCCATTAGTAAACTTCCAAAACACATTTGGTGAATATGAAGTTTATAAAAGTGACCTATTGAGTGGGCGAGCGCCATAAATTGGGTCGTATCCAAGCTCGCACAAAAGTTCATTGACTCCTATTATAATTATTGTCATAAACTATATATGAGTACGTGTTAAAAATTCACGTGATATTAAACGCGCTAACCAATCAAAAGTAGAATAACTCAAACCTTTGGATATATGAAGTGTCAGGCCGCGTTTTTTAACAAGCTGTTTCAATTCTTTAAGTCTGATCTGAATTTTAATAATAATTAATAATAATAATAATAATAATAATAATAATAATAATAATAATAATAATAATAATAATAATAATAATAATAATAATAATAATAATAATAATAATAACTGCTCAACCTCTACAATCTCTTTAAGAGTTTCTTTAGATAAATGGTTAAAGACGATAATCTCGTCGATGCGGTTAATAAATTCTGCAGGATAGTACGCCCGAACCTTAAAATAATAATAATAAGTAGCAATAGATATATAAAAAAAACTTTAAAAAACGTGTTATTTATTTAATAAACAATCCATAGGTCCTCTACTTCTGCGTACCTCTCCTAAAACTTTTTCGCGTATTTCATTAAAAGATCCTTCATTGGATGCAAAAAAGTGGGACCCTTAAAATAATTATCATTATTTATTATGAAAAGCTTTAAAAAAACTTTTCACAAATTAAAGTTTTAGTAAAAGTTTTTTTTTATACCAATGTTGCTTGTCATTATTATTATAGTATTTTTGAAATCAACGCGGTGGCCCTGACTAGTAAAAATATAAAAATAAAAAAAATTAACCATTCCAAAAGTTATGATATATGAAAAAAGGTTTAAAAAATTTAGTAATCAAGTATTTTACTGGACCAATTGAAAATTTTTAAAAGCAAAAAAAAATAATGAAGCAGAAAATATTAAATATTCATTAACTGCCGAAAATATTATGAATTTTTAAGGTTAAAAAAATTTGTAAATATTATTTATATACAAGTTATCATAGTTAGTTGAAATAAATTTTTAAAAGGCGATAAAAATAGTGAAAAATATTTCAATAGCGAGTGTTGATATTTTTAGAGTTATAAAATTTATGAATAATATTTACCTTAAATAATACTAAAATTGTGTAATAAATTTAAAAACGATAAAAAATAATAATTTAAGTATATTTTTTTAGTGAAATTATAATGTTGTTGGGGCGTCACAAAGTTGTAAATATTATTTATACTAATAAAAAATAAACCTGTCCGTGAGCACGCCGTCGTCCAATACCTTTAAAAAAGGTTATAAATAAAGAGTAATAAAACGCATCTTTTAAGTACAAAAAGGTTAGTGAAATATATTTACCAGCAAAATAGTAATAATTTTTTTGGCAGCATAAATAATATAGAAAACAAGAAAACAACCAATAAAAATAAGTATAAAGATAAAATCAACGAATTGTAAAGAACCTGAAGTAGAAGATTTGTAACTTCCCGATGCGCCTTTTCTAATTCGTCCAAAAGTATCACACTATAAGGGCGTCGGCGAATGGCTTCCGTTAAAGTTCCTCCTTCTTCATAACCTGTTCATAAAAATAATAATAAAAGATTTCCGTAATTTTTATGAATCATCATAATACATTACTATAAACGTATGAAATTTGCTAATAATAATAAGTTTTCATTATTTGTTGTGAATTTTTATAAAACTTCTGTAATAAAAAATAAAGAAGTTTTACTGCTTGGCTAATATTAAAAGCGTTTAATTTCATTAGATTAATATATACATACATAGAGGTTGATAATATTATAAAAATAGTGAAATAGGGGCACCAATAAAGTGCGGTGCTTATAGAAGTACACATTTCTGCGAAAAATATGAGCTTGGACATAAATTATATATAAAACTTATAAAGTTTCTGTAAACTCAAAAGTTTCAGTAAAAATTAATAAAAGTTTACGTTTTTTTTAATGAATTATTTTCTATATAGAAAGTTTTTTTGTTTTAATAATAATCAATGATAAATAATAAGTAAAATATTATTTATCGTTAAATAATCTGAACAGTTTTCCATTATTTATAATAAAAAACAAAAAACTTAAAAAAATAATAAAAAGTAAAAAAGTTATATACACGAATATAAAAATAATAGTTTTTATGTAATATATATAAAAAAATAATGGTAATAAGTAAAAAGATATGAATAAAGTTTTTCATTAAAAAGCTTCTGTTATCAACTAACCGACGTACCTAAAAAATAATGAAAAAAAAATTTAGTTAAAAGAAAAAAACTTTTCATAAATAACAAGCGACCAACCCCGGCGGAGCGCCAATCAGACGAGACACATTGAACTTCTCACTGTACTCGGACATATCGATCCGGACAATGGCTGATTCGGTGTTAAAAATTGTTCGGGAAAGTGCCTTCGTCAGCTCCTGCATTGTGCATCAATAAATACCCAATATATTAGTTTGGTAGCTGCAATATCATGGAAACGTATTATTTTATATGCTTTCCTTAAAAAAATTCAGTGATTATTTTTAAACCAATAATAGACTTTTATTATAATCCTTGGATACTTTTTACTTACGTTACAATCATTAAAAATACAGTAGCCAATTTTGGGCGTAATAAATGCAGCCAATCATGTAAGACATACAGTTTTTCCCGTGCCGGTTGGGCCAATAAATAGAAAAGAAGCGATGGGGCGATGCACAGGCTTCAGTCCCGCCCGGCCTAGACGGACAGCATCGCTCACTGCACTAATAGCGTGCTCCTGCCCAACGACGCTTTGCCTCAAGTTTTCTTCCAAGTGCATTAATTTGGACTTCTCTCCTTCGTTAAAAATAATGTAGATTATAGTAATAATAAATACAATCCATATATACGGCGATTATTTTAATTATAATAAGTATATTTGTGAAGGTCTCATAATATTGGTGCGCTGCTTTACAACACTAAATATATTAATCTCACTAATTGTCGGCACATAAAAAAAGCCTTATGTTTTGACCAATAAGAAAAAAGAGTTAACTTTTATTGGAGATTTAAAATCTTCATTAAAAAAAACACCACAGTAGATAAATATGCACCCTTCACCAATAAAACAGAACGTTTATAATCTTTAAAGACTCGTAGCTCAATGGTTACTACATTTCTTAGTAAACTTTCCAAAAAAAATGCTATTGGTTGATAAAAATGTACACTTTCGCAAGCTCCGCTCGCAGTAGCAGAACTTTTAGACTTGTTAGTACCAAACCAATAATGTGCTATCAATGGCGCCAGATAAATGTTATATAGGCTCAAACTATAAAATAGTATGACATATTTAGTGTCGGAGCGCAAGTAAATAAAAATAATAGCATAGCAACAAACTCATGAGCTTCAACAGCAGTTGTTCCACGTAGCGTTAAAGTATTTATAAGCAAAACCTTTCACTAAATTTTCGACGGGAATCTTCGTAGCACGTGACACAACAATGGAAACATCTTTAGGAGTGACAGCCTCGCTTATGAGTTTGCCTTCATTATTATCACGTTCTTCAATGGCCTTTTCATCACACTAAAATAATTGTAATCATAATAATAAAAAAATAGTTGGTGAATGTGTATGGTTTCATATAAATAAATCCATCAATATTTGAAATGAACACGTTGTGAATAAGTTAGCCAATAAAAATATCGTAAACATCTAAAATTTAATGATTATAATAATTATCATAAATTATATAATTACTTCTATTTTTTTCATCAAGTTCGGGATTATTCCATATTTCAACTCTGACGCACGGGCCAAGTTGCCTATTCGCTGAGAAGCTTCAAGTTCGCTTTTGGCTTTTTCCAGTTCTTCTCTATTTTTCTTCATTTCTAATATTCGATTTCTAATAATTTTTAAAATCATTAATTTTTTTGAACAGTAAAATTATAGTGAAATTTTCTAAAAACGAATTAAAATAAATATAATTATAGTAATTATAATACACAAATTTTTTTTTGATAATATATATAATAAAATTTTATATCCAAAAAATATAAAATAAAATAAATTTAAAAAAATTTGTAAAAATTAAAATTATAATACAAATTTTTTTATGAAAAAAAAAATGAATAATAATAAAAACCTTTCATTATTCCACGCTTTATTTAGTTCTGCTGCTTCTTCCTCTTTTCGTCGGATTTCTTGTATTAAAGTTTCTAAACGTTCTCTAATAAATAAAAATTATAAATATAATAATAATGAACGTTTGTTAAAACTTTTGCTAATTAATAAGCATAAGTTACTTTGAAGCCGAATCAGTTTCCTTTTTTAACGATTCGAGTTCAATTTTGTCTTGTAAAATACTTGAATCCAAAGCCTTTAAAAATAATAACAATAAAAAGTAAATTAAAATTATATTTTAAAAAAAAAATAAAAATAACTTTTTATTTACTAAAAAAACCTAATTTTTTAATGTTCTTAACAGCCAATAAAATTAACAATAAACTATTTAACAAACGACATTGGACGCTTTGAATGTAAAACTTCATTGTAGTAGCAAATTGGTTTCATTATTATTAATAATTATAAAGCGCAACAAACAAAAATTTCATAAAGTAAAAAAGGCGCAAAAATTCATAAAAATTCAAAACTTTTTTCGCGGATTTTTAGCATAAGCATTCAAATTAATGAAATTTTTAAGTATATAAAAGCCTTGCGAATTAAACTTTGATAAATAATTAATATTTACACTAAATTTAATGATATATTTTCAATGCAATGCGCTATAAATATACTTATCCTAAAAAAATGATTGGTCACACAATTTCTTAAAAAAAGGTGCTCTGCATTAAAAACAAGACCTGAAGTTCTTCCGGTTTGCTTTCTTGTTGAAGCTTGACCCTCGAGGCCGCCTCGTCAATGAGGTCAATGGCTTTGTCCGGCAGAAACCGGTCAGTAATATAACGATGCGACAGCGTCGCTATTTTTAATAAATATAATAATATTTCAAGGAAACTATAAAATTCTTTTAATATAAAAAAAAAAGTTACCAGCTTCAACTAAAGCGGCATCTGTTATATGAACGCCGTGATGGATTTCGTATCTTTCCTAAATAATAGTGATCATAACACAATAATAATGAAAGAATAAAAATAGTTTTAAAAAAAAATATTGATAATAAAAATTATAAGTAAATTTTAAAAAAAAATAATATGAATATCAATATATTAAAAAACCGCTAGCATTATTTTACTCAAAGTTCATTAAAATATATTAAAAAAATAATAATAAAATTGTATAATGAATTATAAAGGCAAAAAATATTGATAAATTGTATATCGAATCATAATAGCCTGCTCATAATAATAATAATAATGATAACTTTTAAAGTTCTTAATATTGCAATGCAGGCCTCAACAGAAGGTTCCTCCACGAGGATTGGCTGGAATCTTCGCGCTATAAAAATAATAAGAATAATAATAATAATATTATTTAACAAACCCAAAGCCTTGTCTTTCTCAATGTACTGTCTATACTCGTCTACTGTAGTTGCGCCCTTTTTAGAAAAGCAAAAATATTCATTAAAAATAATATATATGAATAATAATAATAATAAAAAACCAATTATAAAAGGTATAAGCGAAGATAATTGAAAATAAACCAATAAGAAATAATATATATGATATAGAGCCACTAAGAAAGTAGAAACCATCATATGCAAAGAGCCTCTAGCCAGCGCAGGTTTCAGTATATTTACTGCTTCGATTGAGCCTATTAAAAGCGGAAATTAAATACAGCATAATGAATTTCTATAGTAAATAGATATATAAAGTTGTAATTTTTTTTTTTTAATAAAATAACCTTCAGCCCTTCCCAGCCCCAACAAACTATGAAGCTCATCCACGAATAAGATGTAAGCGCCATTACCGCCTTCAACGTCCTTCAAGAGCGACTAATAAAAAATAAATCCTAATTCTAAAGTTGCATATTTTTATATATAAAAAAAATTAAAAAACTTTGTGACACCAGAAAAATAATGAAAATATACAACAAATTTTTGTACATATTTTTTATGATACGCCTAAAAAATATGAAAAAAAAAATGGTTTCATTATTAACAAGCAAAACGAACGCAGAAAAAAGAAGTTAAAAAATAATACACTGAAAAGTATCACTAAAAAAAGAGAGTAGGAAATACTCCATAATAAAGGAAAACTAAAGTGGCAGCAAGTTTGATGAAACTAGATATAATCTTAATAATATTATTGAATTTTTTTTTTCAATTTCACAAAAAAATTAACAAAATAAAAAAACTCATCACTCATTGGTGTTACAAAAGAGCTCGGAATAATAATTGTGAACTTTTACTAATATTTCAAAATGAATTATTTTTAAATGAAAAAAAAATAATTATCCCAGAGTTTTTACAGTTACGATAGTCTTATAAGTACTTTTTGTTTCTCTATAATATTGCATATAATAAACTTTTCTACTGCACTAGTAACAAAAGATATTGGGAAGCTGCTCTCATTTAAAAAAAACATTCCTTTTCTTTTTAGATATAAGTAAAGCCCGTATAACTTTCGAGCTCTCTGAAGTGCACAATTCGAAGCACTTATAATAAAGAAACGCTACGAAGAAAAAAACGTGTACCCATGCCGCCCCTTTTAGAAGACCAATGAGTGGTGTGCATTCAAGCGCTCAAGTTTCACGTTACAATAATAATGTAATATAAATAACTTTTAACACTTTAAATATAAAATTATATATTATTAATTAAATAATAACGAATTTAAATTTCTTATTAATATTATAAAATAATAATTTATCAAAAAAACTTTAAAATTACTTTTAAAATTATTTTTGATTATAATATATAATAATAAAATATAATAAACTGTAAATTTACTTTAAATTTTATAAAAAAAAATAAATGATACGTATTTGAGCGCCTTAAGAATATTATAAAAAAAATAATAAAATAATAAAATTTTTTTATTTACTTAAAAAATAAATTATTTATAGTTTTTAATAATAAAGAAATAATTTACTCAAAAAATAAAATATTATTTAAAAAAAGTATAAATTTCGAATTTTTTTTTAATTTCTTAGTAATATTTATAAAATAATTTATAATAAAAAAACTTTTTTAAAAATATTTTATATTAAGAAAAATATAAATAACAAAAACTTTTGAATTTACTTTAAATATTATATTTTACTTAATAAATATAAATTAAATGATAAAATTATTAAAAATTATTTTAAATTTTAAATTTATTACTTTTAAACTAAAAGTTTTCAAAACTTTTAATTTTGATAATTTCACATAAAAAAAATAAAAATACAATTAAGTAAAATTTTTATATTTAATATTTTTATAAACACTTTCACATAAACTTTTATGACTAAAATAATAACAATGTTAAATATTATTATATAATTATAAATATTTAAAAAGAACAATTTTTATAAGAAAATTTACTATTAAAAATAAAAAAATTAAAAAATTTTAAAAAACAAATTTATACAATAAAAATATTATTTTTATAGAAAATATTATAAATGGAAATAATATAATTTTATTTACAACTTTATAAATTTTACTTTTATTAATATTATTTATACTATTTTTGAAAAAATATTCAAGAAAAAAAATTATTTTATCTTTAAAGAAAAATAAAGAAAATTAAGTAATTAAGTAAAAATTTTTTGTAAATATTTTTATAAATATTATAAAAATACTTATTACTAAAAAAAAAATATTATTATTAATGTAATTATATCATTTTAATTTTAATTATAAACTTAAAAAAAAAACTTAAAACTTTAAAATATTACTTTTATAATCTTTCTATTTGTATTTTTTGTAAACAATAAATATGAAAAGTTAAATATATTATTTTAACTTTTATAAGGATTAAAAAAAAAATTTATAATTAAAAATTTTAAAAATATAATAAATAAATACTTTTTAAAACACTAAAATAATAATATTAAATAACTTATTTACTTGTAAAACTTATTCAAAAAATTTAAATAAGAAAACTTAAAAGTTTATAATAATTACTTTATAAACTTTTATTCGAATTATTTTTTTAAAAAATTTAAATTTTGATATTAAATTTCAGTAAAAAAATTAAAAACTCAAACTTTCCCTTAAAAATTTACATTTATTTTTTACGATTATTGATTTTATTAAAAAATTAAAATTATAGTAGAATGTAGAAGCTTTTTAAATTTAAAAATTTATTATAAAAATAAATAAACTTGAAAAATTTAGTAGAAAAAAAAAGTTATTAAAAACTTTTTATAAAAAAAAATTTATAATTTCATTATAAAATAAATGTAAACCTTTAAATTTCTTAAACTTTTATTATTATTATAACTTGTATATATTTTTTGTAAAGGTTTTTTAATAAAACCATTTAATATACAATTATAAAAAATTAACAACTTTTTATATTGCAGACATTTCAAGACAAAATTTGTCAACGTTTATAATTTATTAGACTTTATTATTATTATAAGAACTTGTAGTATATTGTACAAACTTTAATAAATACTTCAAAAACATATAAAGCTTTTTTTAAGAAATTTAAATGTTATATATAAAATTCGTATAACTTTACAATTTTAGTTAAAATTTATTTATTAAAATAATAGAATTTTATTATCATTATTTGGCTTTCATGTAAATTTTATAAAACAATAATGTATAAATACTCAAATTATATAACTTTTATTATTAAAAATTCATTTTAAAAAAAAATAAAAAACTTTATAAATTCCTTTAAAATATATAAAGTTACTATTATTATAAATAAAAAAATAAATACTTAATTTCTATGACTTTATTATAACAATTTATTAAAATAATAAATATAAACTTTATATATTACTTTGAAAATATATAAAAGTTTTTATCATTAAACAAAAAAATAAATTACTAACAACTTTTAAAGTTTTAAAATTTTAATAGTTTCAATATTTATATTTTTTTTATTATTAATGTTATAACTTTTATATATTTTTTATTTTTTTATTATAAAAATATATAAAACCTGAATTCTTTCCTCAAACTCGCCACGAAATTTTGTTCCGGCTATCAAACTTGCGAGATTCAAAGCGAAGATTCGCTTCTGTTTCATCGACTCCGGAACTTCTTTTTTTATAATTCGCTGTGCAATGCCTTCAGCTAATGCCTTTAATAATAATAATAAATATATATATATAAATAACTAGAGTAAAAAAAAATTGCAATAAACAATTTATATAACAAATATAATAAAAAAATAAAGAAATTAAATAATAAATAATTTAAAAGTTAATTAAATTATAAAATCGTAATTATAATTGAAGCATTAAAACTTTAAAAAGAAAAATAATTATAAAATACGTTATTTATATATATAATAATAAAAGTTAATTAATATATAAAAATATTAATAAAAATAATTAGTTAAAAGGAAATAAATATGAATAAATAAAAATTATTGAAAGAAAAATATAAAAAAAATATAAAACTGTGAATAACAATAATATAAAAGTTAAAAAGTAAATTATATAAAATTTATTATAATTATTATATAATAATAATAAAAATAAGAGAAATTATTAATAATAATTACGAAATTAATAATAATAAAAGTTATAATTTATGTTAAGTAAACCTTTGAAACTTTTAAAATATTAATTTAAATTAATTATAATTATTTCATTAAAAATTAAAAAGTAAACTGTACATGTAAAGAATATATAAGCATAAACTTTTATTTAAAAAAAAAATAAATAACTAGAAAAAAAAAAGTACAGTTTTTCCAGTTCCCGCATTGCCAATGAAGATTGGATTGTTCTAAGAAAGAGTTTTATTAAAAGTTCAATTATATAAAAATAAAATAGTATTTGTATGTGAAAACTTTGGTTAATAAAGTAAAGTAAAAAAAATAAATCAGAATTGATAATATTTATATAAATTTGAATTTGCTTGATAAAAAACCTAAAGTAACCTTAATATAAAAAATATAAAAACTTTCGTTAAAAATACTTTAAGTAAAGAAATAAACAGAATCGACAAATTTTATATAAAAAGTTTCGATATACAAATATATGGATTAAACTAATTATATAATCTTATCTTTGCTTTATACAAATTTATAATAAAAAGTAAAAAATTCAAAATAATATAAAATGTGAAAATATTATAATCACTTTCGTTGTATATAACTTTAAGTAAGAATAAAATCGAATAAATGAAGCTTATATAAGAAGTTTAGATAAACAAAAAAATATATATATAAAATTAAAAAAAAAGTTATTACTGTTTTCATACGTTTATAGAGTTATTAAAGCAGTAAAAAAAAATTAATAACTTTTACAACTCAATAAAAATATGAAAAAAGAAAAAGATAAATCATTATAATAAAAAAATCTAATCTTTATAAATTTCATATTAATTATTATCTATTTTTTTAGTACATGTGAAGACTAAACAGGTTTATTTCATAATTATAATTCATTTATAAAACACAAACTAAACAGTTTATTATATCAACTATTTTTTTACTTTTTATTATTATTTTCCATTTATTAAGAAGAAACTAGAAAGTTTTTATTTTTTTTTCAATATATTATATATTAATTATGTTGTATACTAATTAACTTATTACAAGCTACAAAACTTATTTTACAATAATAAAAAGTAAAGTAAACATAATAATCCTTAAGTAAAATTAAAATTTTTGGTATACTCAAAAGTATAAATTAAAATTCGGATTTATAAATTTATAAAAAACTTCAAGTATAATAATAAAATTATTGAGCATAATTTTCTTCTTTAAAATATTATAAAAAAAATAAAATTATAATATTTTGATATCAAAAAAAAAATTTATATAAAATTTCGTTATAGATTTATCAATATGCTTAAGTATTTGCAAAAGTTAAAGATTATTTATAAGTAAGAAAATATTTAAAACAAACAAAACTAACTTTGTACTAAATATATTAATTACTTTTAATTACTCTGAGATAATTTTCTTTAGTTAATTTTTAAATATGAAAAAGTAAATAAATTAAAAATTAATTTAAATGCTACGAAAGTTTAGATTCAAAATTAAACCAAATGATAACTTTTCTAAATATTAAAAAAAAAGTACTGCAGTTTATAATTTTAAAAAAATGGATAAACGTAATTAAATTAAAAACTTTTAATAAATTTGATTTTCTTACTTTTGTCCTTCGGCATAAAATCTGAAGAGCTCTCCAAATTTCTGAGTCTCTACCAGCAACGGGATCAAGTAAGTTTTCTAGTATATAAATAGTAAAACTTAAAAATTTAATTTAAAGTAAATTAATTAATTAAAATTTTATTATTGTAAAACAAAATCAAAAACTTTACAGATGATTTTCATAATTAAAAAATATAAAACTATAAAAAAGCATGGGACAGGATTATAGATTTCAAATCTAATCTATAAAAAGTTAAAAAAATATAAATAATCCGAAGAGATTATATAATTAAATGGTCAACCAAAGTATAATTAATTAAAATTTTAGGTATAGTAATTTTATTAATAAAACAAATAACAAGAATGAATGTAAACAAAATAACTTCAATTTAAAAAAATTGATAGTATTAAAAAAAATGCGTAAAATTTAGGAAAAAGTGATTAAAAAATTTAAAATAAAATTAATAATTAAATTCAAAAAGTCCAAAACTTCTAATATTACAAATATATATAAAAATATAGAAAATTTGTTAATAGAAAAAAGAAACATAAATAACATTTATTTTTTTAAAAAAATTAAAGTTTTAATTTTTCAATATAAATATGTTAAAATTTAATATATATATATAAATTAGACTTCTTGTAATAAAAGTAATAGTATAATTAAGCATGAAAAAAAATTGAAAAAAATAAAATTTAAAAATTTAAAAAATTAATAAAGTTAAAAAGTAAAAAAGTGTAACTACATAATAAATAATAGTGTATATAAACTTAAAAACATACCATTTCAAATTGAAAATGTTAATTAAATTAAATTAACTTTTTAATAAAAAATAAATTATATTTATGCTATCTATAATAAATTAAAAACTTCAGTAATAATCTAAATTAAAAAATAACCTATAAAATAAGGTAAAAAACTTCAAAAAACGATAATAAATTATAATATAGCGTGACTAAATTTGAACCTTCTGCCTTCTTGGTAAGATCAATAGCAAATCGCTTTAGAGCTTCACCTTTCTTGTATTGAGGCTGTTGAAGTTGCTCTTAAAATAATAATAATAAAAAATTAGTTTAAAAAAATTTCAAAATAAATTATTTTATAAAATTTTATAATTTGAATTAAAAAATTTATAAAATATAATAAGTTATTTTCTAATAAAGACTCGAGCGATATAAATAAAGTTTATAAATTTATATATTTATTCGTTCGATTTTAAAAAATAACTTTAAAAGATTAAACAAACAAAAAATTTTATTATATAATTCTTAGTAAACTAATAGAAATTATTAACTTTATTATAAATGAGTTAAAAATTTTATTATTCAATCATAATACTTATATTAGTCAAAAAAAATTTAGTATTAAAAAATATATCGTTAATAAAAATATTGTAATTCTAATATTTAATTCGGTCGTAATAAAAAAGTTAATAAAATTAAAAAAATTATTCCACAAATTTTTTTATTTTATTTCTAATAATTACTTCACTGGACATAAGAAAATTTATTATTTTAATATATTTATCAAATAAAAAATTTTATTATTTAATTTTTAATAATTGATTCACCGGACATAAGAAAGTTTATTATTTTAATATATTTATCAATTAAAAAAATTTTATTATTTAATTTTTAATAATTAATTCACCGGACATAAAAAAGCTTATTATTTTAATAATTTATCAATTTAAAATTTTAAAATTTAACCGATAATAATTAATTCGGTCAAGATTAATAAGTTCATAAATATATATACATATATGTCGCTTGAGAAATTTTACTAGTTATTTTCTAATGTTAAATTCGGTCGAAATAAAAAAAAAGTTTACCATATTGAGAGTAAAGACACTTTTTTATTATAAAAAGAGCTGCAGCAGATGCTCCTTTATTACTAACTGCATATAAAAAAGAAATTACAACTCAATATATAAAAAAATTAAGTTCTAATAAAAATAATTTAAATGGAAAGAGTTAATCTTAATTAAGTACAATATTTTAAAATTTACTACCTTGAATAAAAGTAACTGTTTCTATAAATATGAAATAGAATATAACTTAAATTATATCTAAAATAGCAACTACATTTAATATTTAAAACTTTAATAAATTCCAAAACCAGATAATAACTTTACTCAACTTCATTTTTAAACAATAAATTAATGTTTACAAAAGAACTTCAATTTTAAATGGTACCTCGAGTCCGTGAGTTAAAAAGAGGTGAGTGGAGTAAAGCGAGCATTTAAAATTTATATAAAGTTTAAATAAAGGGATATAATTGACCTTTCCCGGTTTAAGTTTTAAGCAGACAAATTAAAACTACGAGATAACCTCGGATATGCAGTAATTCAGTATCACGTTCAAGTAAGATTCGCGAATGTTAATGTTTTGTAGCACCTGCCCTAATAAAGGGGTATATAGGTGTAGGTTTCTGCAAAGACTTCGCGAGCAATTTTTGTGTAGGGGCCCGTTGGACTTTCTCTCCTTGGCCTAGGTGTATTTGGCGAGTAACGCAATTACTATTAATACATAGTTTTTTAACATTCCCTAACTTTTGGGAACGCCGAAGTTTTTATTTCTCGAGAAGGGAGGAACTTATTAATGTATCGAGTTTCAACACGCCCCCTTACTTTATTAAATGATTTCTTTATTGTTAAGTATTCAACACCAAATCTAGTAAAACAAAATTTTTTTTTTGAGGGGGAGTGGCGGGCGGACACGAGCGATTAAACTCAGTCAGTTAGATTTTTCGCCACGCCCAAAGTGGACGCCCACCTAAAGGGAGCGAGAAATTATTTATTAAGTTACCAAGTACTAATAACACCAGTGAAGCCTTCGTCTTAGGAGCCAGTTTTTTAAGCAAGTTGGTACAAAAGAAGCAGGTTTGCTGGGTGTTGCCTGATATGTTTGATGAAAAGCTGCGCAGTTTATATCTGTGACAGCAAAGGTTGGTAGGGGACTGCTTATGAGTTCTACAGAGGATTTGCATTTAAAGAACTAAATTAATGTCTAGTAGGAGGTTATTAATACTCTGCACGACATGATGGAGTATACTAAATTATTTGCTGATAGACCCTTAAATCGGTTTTTAAAGTTTAACGAACTTATGGAAGAAAATTACAAGTGTTAGGATGTATTGAAACTAATGAGGATGTTAAGAGCGCCCAGTGAAAGGCTTACTTACATTGTAGTAAAATTATTACAAAATGAGAATCTTTGGCAACAGCTTAGTAACATGTCGGAAAGAGACCATTTAAGCCTGCAAACTGTTGTCAAGACGACTAAACTTTTTCAACTTTTATTTAATGCTCGTCTAATAAATTATGGCTGAGCCAAATTTATCTAGTACAGAGAACGGCTCCTGAAATCGTTTCTTTCTTTTTAAGACTTGCTTGGCAATTATTGTTAGGTTATGATATCGTTATTATCACTTATAAATAAAATATTAAAAAAGTAAGAAGACCTTTGGCGGAAGCTAATGCAGTTAATGACCAACAGTATGGGGCGGGCTCATGTGGAAAAATGTTCGGATGCTACGTAAGTGAGAACTCCGTTTTGCTGTAGTTTGTAAATATGCTAGGAGAATTAATAAAAGTTCTAAAAAGTACTTTTGTTTATTAACTGCTCCTAAGAAAATGCTTGCATACCTAATGATGGGCCAAGTGTCTCTTTAGTTATTAAAGAGGGCAAGGACGACTTAGAGAGAGGAAAAAGTTAAAAATTTTCTGATTTTAAGTAGGAAAATATCTTTTTAGTGGTAGGTTGGTTTCCACCTACCAGAGAGGCTAAGTAAAAAAAAAATAAGTTTTTTAAGTCTTTAAAGGACTCGGATTCTGGACTATGGGCTCTGTATTAGCTAAGACTTCTAAATGAAGGGATGGATAAGCTCATACTAGATATAGTGCATACATCATGACCTAGCTAAGAGCGTTGCCTGGAAGAATTAATTTTAAATAGGTTAAGGAAGGATTAAATCGTCAAGTTGCCTAGCAAGTTGCTGACCCTCAAGTGGTGGATAGGCATTATAAAAGGGTTTTTGACGAAATGATCTTGCCAGCCTTCGACGATATAGTAAGAAAAGAAGATTCTGTTCCAATTTCGGATCTTAAAAGAGATTTAAATGCCTTTAAAAGTAGAGCAGTGTATATAAAGAATGTCGACAATTTGGTTTAGAGAATGTATTAGTTAGCTTGAAACCCTGAGACATGATAGTGGAACCATGTAATGCCAAGCTAAAAAACAATGTCAATTTTCTGAACAAAATACGAAATGAAAGATTAACAAAGGCGCTTTAATTACCATAAGAGAACGAGAGAAACTATCTGGAGCAGTTTTTTTAGAAAATACTATTGATTGGAACTGGAATAATATACAGGTTGAGAAACTTAGTGGGAGGGGTGGGCAGGCATCGAATATTTTAAGAAAGAATCTAAAATTAGGTGCGTGTATATGGTGCTCTTCTGGGTTAAATGTATGATGCGTAACAAATGAATGCAAAGCGTCCATTGAGCACTTTACTAATAGTACAGTTAAGGAACAAAAAACTGTTTGGCAATTTTGGGAAGAGTCAGACGTGAACTTAATGTATTTGACCACTATGCCCAACGGTGGAGGAATGCGGTGGACAATTTACCCTTCGTTAATGTGGATGCGCCCTCGAGTTTTTAGGAGATATGAATAAAATAACTGGTTTGCAATATACTTATATTTACGTAGATGATTGCTTAATGACTACAGAATCTAAAGAAAACCATTCTCAAGCGCTTTTTAAACTTACTGAGAGATAAGAGAATTATAGTGTTAAAATACAAAACATAGAAGTGCAAGTTTTTCAAAGTCGATGGGAGAGTACTCACTAGTTCGGGTCAAAATTGATGAAGATCCTGTTCGAGCTTTAAAAAAATAATTAAGCTAGAGTCTGAAGGTGAATTATCTTGTTTTTTTCAGTCTTTAAACTATTGGAGGGCTGTAGCTTTCATGACTTTGTTGTTAATAAGCCGCTGAATAAACTTGAAAAAAAATTAAATAGTGTGGGATAACAAGTAGGAAGATTTATAAAATAGAGTTATAAGAGTATTAGACCAGCAACTATGTGTGGAAGAACAATGTAACACAAAACACAAATAGAAAAAAAAAATAAGCAGATTACAAAAAACGTGTTGTATAATCATTAAGTATAGAGTGGACAACCATAAAACACATACATTAACACAAAAGACAAACACAAAACACTATCCCTCTAAATTTCCACTGGGGAATTGATCCGTGGTTAATTTAATTAAAAACCTGTGAAACCAACAAAAATACAAGAAAAGAGAAATTTATATTCAACATATAAAAAAATTTAATTTGACCTGCCTTACCAATTGGATACAAACTAAAAGATAAATTTTATCTGGTGGAATTAAATTTATTGTACATATATAAAAGCATATTTCGACCTTTTGTAAAGGTATGAATACAGACTGAATTGGTTAATAAAAGCAACCTTGATTTAATATACTTCTTTATATACGAATTTGATAAAAAGCGTATGACCTAATTCATTAGGCTGATGTTATTAATAATAGGAAGAAGAGAGGTCTTACATTTAAGATACGAGAATTTATAGTATTCGCGTGTACGTACGAGTTAATGAAGATTAAAGCTATGTAGTTTAACAGGTAGGGTGACTTTAGCTGTTGCTTGTTGCATTAATAAACTAATGCATAACAACTGACCTTTAAATTATTTGATAATGAGTTTGGTGCTGGAATTTTTAGGAGAGAAGAAATTAATAGAATTAAATAAATTATGTATAATATTTATTAGTCATTAGGATAAAGTCTGGTAAAAATAACGTTACTGTAGATTTATTGTCGAGGCTTCCATCCGATGAAAATTTATACTGAAAACGTTAGTTTAATCTAAGCAAACAAACGAGAATTGATTTAGTGGAAAAGAAAAAAAATGAAAATAGCATTTTGAACGCCTCAGCATATAAGGTTGTTATTTAATGGATGACTGTCGATAACGAAAATGCTAAAAACGCCGGAAAGTCTGTATATAGTGTTAGTATCATGGATAGATATCTACTCTTTGTATAGACTTTTTCCTTTATAAAGGTTTGAACAGAGGAGATAAACTGCATGTGATTAAGGTGAAGTGTCGCTTTATGGCTGGTAAAGGTGTTAAAGTTTACTTTGTAACTACAATGCATGGTTAAAAGGTATTTCAAACCAAAAAAAAATTATTTTAAATGAGTATGCTGAGAAGGTTGTCGAATTATAAAGACTACATATAAAAGTACAAAAGACTGTAAAATATACTAGGCCGTGGCCCATTGTTCATGATATGCGCTATTGACGGGTCAAACATGTATAAACTCATCTAGTAGGATGGTGTCAATTTTAGTTTATGTGCTGAATTAGGAAAAGCTTACATTAATCTCGAGAAATTGTAATACCAAAAAAATGGACTTAGATGAACAGTCACAGTTGGGAAGTAATATAAAGTTGCATTATGATAAAAAAATTAGTTAAAGGGAAGGATTTCGATGCGGGTTAAATGATTTTTATTGAAAAGTTTGATAGTAAACTAGAAGTTGAGAATTAAGAGAAACCTGTTATTATTATAGGTCTTAGATGATGAATTGTACTAATTGGAAAAAACAGCCAAAAACATGACCAGACACCCGAACCCAGCAAAAATAATGCTTTTGGTAATATAAAGTTTTTAAAGGCTCCTTTGTATCTTAAAACTGTCACAAGCTAACTACGGAGGGCTACACGTGGGCTAATAAACGTTTTTATTATGAAACGTGGGATAAACTAAATATGTAGAGTGCCGCCACTGTGGACAGTCAAATAAACTATAAGAATTCAGTGTAAAGATCTTTTTCTTTTACCAAGTAAAATAGAGCTGAAGGAGTTTCAGGAGTTTATAGAGGAATAAGAAGAACTTGTTAACTCCTGCACGAATCTTAATAATTCAGTTTAGATTAATACATTTGACATATGGTTACGTCAGAAAGTTTAACTTTACATCATTTTTTACCCTTATGAGCAATGTATCATTCATGTACCTTTCATATACTTTATGGAACTTTAAGCATCAATCTACGCCAAATATAAAATAGCTAAAACTGGAGCAGCGAAACTGCCCAAAGAAATCCCGTTAGTTGTTGGTATGAGGTATAAGAAAGTCGAAAGACGCTCTTATGTAACAAAGCATGGAACTCTTCGTGGTTTGCACAAAAAAAAATTTTATGGTGTGGGGGGTCTTTCAGAAAAAATTCTACAGAAATCGTAAGTTTTCTATTTATATACTTGTATAAAGCGATTCTATATCTGCTGAACATAAAATATCATTACTCTTAAATCTAATTTTTATTAATAAAGTTGAAAGGTGCTCAGAGTTTTTTATAAAGGACGGTATTCTAAATATTTTAATAGCCATAAATTAAAATGTAACCATTTAGCTAAACCTACCTCAGGATTATTATGATAGGCAACTAGAGGTCTTATAGCTGGATTACTTCTTTAACCTAATTAATGAATTTTAGGCATAGTCTGAAATTGGCTGAGAGAACTTTTTTCTATTGCATGAATAACTATTTCAAAGAATTTATTAGATGATATTATTAAATTATTTTTTAACACTATCGAAAAAATAATTGATAATTCATGTTTTTCAAAAAAAGATATATATCTTTGAAAGATGATAAACCACCTTATCTAATAAAAGAAATTAATAAGCTAAACCCCTTAGGTTTCTTATGACAGATAGGCTCAAGGGACCGCCGGTATGACCAATTTTCAATAACTTGTTAGGATTCAAAACCATTTAAAGTCATCTGTTTCCAATACTTCAGAAACAAAAGGCAAAATTAGTTTCTTTTGGAAGGAAAAATACCTTATCTATAAAGGACTTTTCCTAGATAACTATGATATCAAATTTCTAAAATAGTTATATTTGACTTAGCAAAAAGATCTCAGTTATTTTCATAGCATGCCTAAATTTCATTGATTAGGTCACGCAAGAATTAATCCAACCATAAGACCTTTATTGCCCTCTATAAAAGCCTAGCCTAATGGTAGGTTTATCTAAATGGTGAAATACCGTTCTTTATAAAAATGCTGAGAGTTTTTTTTTCCTTAACAGATAGCAAGTTAAAAAGTAAGGGCCTTATATGTTTAGTAGAAATAGAATCGCTTTATACAAAGTATACCAATGGAAAACTTATGGATTTCTGTGGAATTTTTTCTGAAAGACTCTCCAGACCATAAAATTTTTTTTTGTGCAAACCACGAAGCGTTCCATCTTTTGTTACATAATAATGTCTTTCGGCTTTTCGATACTTTATACCAACAATCAACGAGATTTCTATGGGACAATTTCGCTGCTCCAGTTTGAGCTATATATCTGGCGTATTAAGAAACTTTAAAGTTTTATAAAGTTATATAAAAGGTACATGAACGATACATTGCTCATAAGGGTAAATAATGATAAAGTTAAACTTTCTGACTTTACCAACCATATGTCACAACGTGCTAAACTAAACTGAACTTAAGAGATGATAAAACACAATTCTATTTCCTTTTTAGATTTACTTATTTCTGACAGTATAGTACTGCTTGTAAAACTAATAAAAAGGAATTCAATTTCTTATTTTTATTTAACCTTTGACAGTGCACATCCTCCTAGCACCTCAAAAAATCTCAAAGCGACTCTAACGCAGTAATAAGATCATATTTACGTTTGAAGAGGATTTTTGACTTCTTACTAAAAATCTATATCATAGACTTCTGAAAAGAGGCCAAATAGTTAAACTTTTAATGGTTCGCACCGTTAAAGAATTTTAGAAAAACTTTATACCACCTTTTCAGAGGATAAAGAAGCATGCAAGTATAAAGATAACAAAAAAGATATTATTATCGTTAAATCCATGTATAACTTATATGATATTAAAAAGAGATTCCTTCGTTATACCATCTGTGCTGATGAGCTAGAAGAATCTCTAACTGAAAACTCACAGTAACTTACAAACAGCCTTCCAAGTTGAAAGGCTTGTTTTTTAAAAACAATTAATAGGAAAATTAGTTGACATGTTTTTATAAATCGGATTGGTAAAAAAGTTGTTTACTTACATTTTTGAGGTTTCATTTCGGTAAACTAGTCGTATAAATGATTTTTATTGGACAAAATAAGATCCATTTCATGAAGTTACTCTGTCCCCTTTTTTCTAGAGTATGACTGAGCCACTGATGAAGAGCACTATTCGGAGGAATTGCTACTAAGTATCCTTTGACAGGAGTTATGCACAAAAGTTCTTATATATTAAAGTAATACTACTTTTTATTGATATCTGTCTTTTTCGTTAACAGGAATACTAGGAAAATTAAAAAACTGAGCTAAATAGTTTTTGTTTATTAAGCGTCCTAACACCTTGTAATTATACATTATAAGGGTCACTTTCACTAACTTAAGCTAATTACGATGGCAAATTTAATCTTTCCCCATCCAGTCGAACCTTAAATATTTTGTGTTAAAAAACCCCATGTTCTTAATCTAATCTATTACCTTCCTTGAAAATAAGGCACACTGTGTCACCTACTTAACGGTCTTCAGCGTATTTTCCCAATATCGTAACCTTTTTACATGATTCTATCCACGTTTTTTTGTCTTTCGCCTCTAGTTCTTAGATTTCCGATGTCCCCTCTTAACTTAATCCGGCTTTAAAGTTGCACCATCTCTATCACTCTCGACACTTTCAGTGCGGACCAGTTAAAATTAGTGTATTCTTTAAACGCTCCTAAAGAGCTCAGAATCCTGTTGTAAAAGTAAATAAAATAGTTTAACAATTCTTTTAAAACTCTATTGCTCTCAGTAGTTATTCATTAAGCCCTTATTCAAATTCTTGGGTGGCCCCTTCAGCCATACCGTTAGCTTGATTGACTGTAACATACTCTACTTTTTTTTCGTGTTACACCCTCTTATAAACTGCTTCTCCTCTCTGCTAAAAAAAATATTGTTTTCTTTTCCTTAATAATATTAGTAGGTCATCTCAATTAAATATTTTTCTTAGCTCTCTAACTACCATCTCTGGATCTAGCTTTTTAAATGCCCGGTCCCATACAAATTTAAAATACTTAACAAGTATAATTAATACGTCTCGTGACTTTTTTGCGATTTTTTGGGGCATTTCGGAAACATCCACAGTCATATGTATTATGGTTTCCCTTATAAATTTCTCTTATATGCATCTACTCTCTAGGCTTATTACTAAGGCTCGCTAGCTCTCCATCCAATTGTGTATGAAATAACGCATTATCTTGTTAGTTCCAACATAGTAATTTTCAATATAACTTTTCAACTTCTTCATTACTACCAACTTTGGATTTAATCTTGTCCACTTTCTTATCCTTGTTCTTAATTAACCTACATATCAAATCCGAGATAATATTCCCTTTCCCGGATGTATTATATAATTCGATTATCTTAACTTATTACTTGCTGGACTTACTGTGTTCGTTTTCATCTCACCGTTTCGTATTCATATTTATTCCCAAGTAAACCAAGTTAATTTTAATGGCCTGCCTCCACTATAAGCTGCTGACTACGTAATTTTATAAAATCTACTAGTTTATTCGCGCACCAGGCCACTGCTAAACTCTCTCTGTCGATAATGCTGTATCTTCTTTGAGCATCGTTTAACTTTGTACTTACAAATATGTGGTGAACATTTCCTTTGTAACGTAGAAAGCACTATTCCAAATTATCATTAAAAGGTAATTGTGAATAACGAATTTAACACATATATTTTTAATAGTATAAAATATGTTATTCCACGTCTCCTACTGCTCTTTCTTCCAGACAAACAAATTTATTTTTTAGTAGACTATTTACGAATTCCAAGATTACGGCTTTCTGCGGAACGGAAGCACCCCGAAAATTTAAATCTTGCAGGGAACTTGTTAATTCCTGCTTATCGCTTGGCCTCTTCGTATTTAAAAAAGCCTGAAATCGGTTCCTCAGGATTCCTCAAACCTCGATTGATACTTCCTTACCAAGCCATTTAAGTGAACTTTCGGCAAACTTGCATTTCTCTAGACGTATTTAACTCTAAGAAACTCTTACCATACAAATAACTTCAATAAGCACTTATAATGTATGGCTTCATCCATTGTTCTTATAAAGCTGTCATCGGCATAAAACATGTATATTCTTTTAACCCGTTGCGATCCGATTCATACATTGATTTTAAATGAACGCAAAATACTTCTAGGATGCTTAAAAATAAGTCGCTGATGTAAATCTTTTTTAGCGTTGTCTACCCTAGAAAATATTATTCCTAGAGCCTTCAAGTTAATGAGCTTTCCTTTGGTACTCTATACTACTGGAGGTGCATTGCTCATTGAGACCCTGTAGTGCATCACCTCACGTAATCCGGGTCTTAATCTATAGCTTCAAGTAACGTACTTGTACGCTAGTTTTTCAACTACAGCATGTTTCTACAGCATGTTTCATTACTAGGCTTGAACTTCTCTAACCAATTTTACGTTTCAAAGATCTTTTTTCCTCTCTTATTTACGCCATAGGGCGTATCTCCCTCGGATAGAGTCATTCGAGCTGGTTCCAACTTTAGGGCGCTCAGTCTCGGAACCACTATCTTAGATTGTATGAGTTACTATCCCCCTAACCCATTGTTGTAAAACTGTGTGTTGTCTTCGAGATTTATTGGAATTTATCTTGAGCTTAACACATTAATTCGGCCCATTAACGATCTTAGGTCTAAATCACCCAGTTTTTTTATTTTGCAGACTCCTCTTTTAAAGCCAAAAACATGCCTTTCCGTAACTAAATTAAAACAGCACTAACAACTGAGAAGGCGAAAACTAAAAGAGGGGAGTTCTATTATTATAGGTATTTAAGCCATTTATAAACATTCACAAAATGTTAAAAAACAATTTTTTTCATTTATGTATACTTGCTTAGATTAAATTTAAAATTCTTTAAATTAAAAATGTTTTAACAGTAATGCTTCGTGTTATTAGTAACCCTTTAGGTTACTAATTGGGTTAACTTTGTTTGGTTGGTTAGTTTCGGTTTAAGTTTTAACCAATTACGAAGCCCTGCAGACTAAAACGAACAACTACAAAGCAGAGAAGCGCGAATAGGAAAAAACCCCATAACTCTTTAATTATGTGTATGTACATATAATATCGTCCGCTAGTACAATAATCATACATTTTATAGTTCAAATGACACTAATTAATTACCTTTCAGTCTTTTAATCTGAAAAAGTAGTCATAGCGATTTACTAGCGTTTCAAGCCTTCATCATTGGTTTCCGGGGGATCTTTACAACAGAAAGTATATTAGTTTATATTTTTAATTGGTTTATCTTTTAATCATTATTTCTGTGTGGGTTTATTATTGTTTAGATGTATGTATAATTTTTAATACATTAAACGTTGCACGAAGCATGCCATAATTGAAGTGCCTTCACTAAGCTACACAGCTTGTCCAAACCGCGAACCTTCAGAACAATTTTCGTAAGGCCCAGGTCAATGCTAGTAAAGATAATATGCCAAGCCAGTCCGTCTTAACGCTTCACCAAACTATTTTTTATGACCGTTTTTTTAGCATGTCTATCGCAAACTATGGGTCCCTCGCTTTTTGTTGCTTTGTTTGAAAGTGTTTTATCTTTCCTAGACGGCCTAAATCCAAACTTTTCTAGGTCATTTTTACTTAAGAATAACTCGATCCCCTATAGAAGAGCATATATATTCACTTTCTATAATTTATTGTTACTTGTTTCCCCGTTATCCCTACACCACCAAAGTTTCCTCCAAAAAAGCAGTAAAGATATTGGTCACTATTTTTAAGCCTCTCTCTCTCGCCCATTTTTAAACTAACGTAACTTCTCTCTAGTCCGTGCAATTTTAATCAACGTCAACATTTTTTAATACTTCTCACTATGCTGCTGCTATTTTGCGGCCGCCTTTCCCCTAGACAAACATACTGTACGTCTAGTAAAGTTATTATATACTTTAGGCGTCTTCTTAGTGCTATTAGCTTCTGAAATTTTTCCTTAATTAAATTTCCGTGATCGTTGGGCTACCGTCGCAACTAGAAAAATCAAAATTCATGCTTAGATCCAGTGGCCTTCTTAACTTCTGTTACTTCCTTAACATGCCGCAGTATAATAAAACCGCATAATATTCCGATTATAATCCTTGAATGTTTTTATTTCTCTCAGTTACAAGACCTTTGTGGCCTTCATATTTATTGTGAATGTGCACTGCTGAAGAACAATTGCATATACTAATGTTTAGGTAAACTGGCGCATTGACCCTAGAGCTGGATATCTAACGTCACTCCTCGGTAGCTCAGTGTTAAACGGTCACTTGACTGCACATTGCTAAAAGTTCCGCGACTCATTCCAAAAGCGCTAAATAGGTTTGAAAAAATTTGCTAGCCTAGTTTATTTTGCACCTGAGACTTTTTTAGTAGAAATGATAATGCCTTAGGCTTCAAATAAGAGGGGCTTCTGAAATCGTTGTAACGCGTTGGTGTAAATATCATCCTTGCTCTGCAACTACATTTCGTATTGCAACAAAGGCATTGCTATTCTGGTCCTGTAAAACCTGTCTCTTTTTAACCCAATAGGCCTACCGACTAAAGGTGTCGGATTATGTATAACTTGCATGAAGTCGAGAAACTATACTTTGGTTTACTTGCGACTAATTTGGATGTGCTACTGCCCAACGCGTTTTAAATTTTTTACTGCTCTTTATACCGCTTTGGCCCTCTCTCTCTGCTTGATGGCGTTCTAATGCGAACTAACAGCTTCACAGAAAACCGTCCCCTAAGCTTGAATATAATAGATTATAACACTAGATAAATAGGGCACGCAACCAATAGTTAGCAAGACTTTGCAGCCACGAAATTAGGTACTGCCCTGACCTTCTACCGGACCACTTAATTGGTTTTATTCGTTTACCCCAGATGTTAACACGCTTTGTAAACTGTTGCTAAGCTGCGTCAGCGAAAATTAAATTTGCGGCGCTGATTGTACATGTTACTGCTTAAATACTAACCTACCATGAGAACTCTTATTTCCGGCTACCAGAGCACATATGCGCCTTTTGTTATCGGATGGCTCGCAGTCTTCCGCAACGTCTACAACCCAAATAGTTCTTAAATAGCAGTGGAGCGTCATTCTTATTGGCACTGCGCCGTCAGTCAGGCCAGCAGTAAGGTCCCACGAGTCTTTGCTCCTCCTACTTCTGTTAAAGCTATATACATAAATCACATCCCCTATGAACCGCACTTTATACTAACGACGTAGCATCTATGCATCGTCAAAAAGCGCGAATTAACAGACAAGACCTGCTGCGATAAACGCTGTAGAGAACAAAGCGCTCAATACAATTCCTTTAAGGTAAGGAAACCCTTAAAATCCTTAAGCCCAATACTTTTGGGATCGTCACTAACAGACTGTCTTGCGATCACACCGCGCATACCTTACGGAGAAAGTCAGAGCGGTAACGCAAGCGCTAATGTGTGCGAAGAACTAGCTGTTCATGGGCAACGTTGCACTTGCACGGCTATGTGTGCAAGACCTTTCAGGACTATTAATAATCTGCTCGGGCGTGAGATGCGCATTCAAAAGTAACATCACTACGAGTACAGCAAAAAAAATACATTTCGTTTGCTGTCTGCAGACTGGTGTTTTGCACTTATGCTCATTGATACTCGTTATGAGGATTTGAATTTTAATAATAACATTTCAAAAAATTGTATGCGCTTATCTCCTCGTTCGTGAATTCTCTACTTTACTGAGTTGCGATATTGCTTTCTTTTACGGAGCTTTATGGTGTAATATTTATACTGTTCCAACGGCTTTAATGAATTTAAAAATGTTCATCGTAACTGTTCTTGCTGCTCACCAAGCGAAACATTTAATAGGCAAGCCCATGTAAATAATGAACCGCTAGCACTCAAAAAATGCATTTAATATTCTGCATCGTAAGCAAAATAATTTCATATACCAAAATATATGATTTTTGATAAAATCTCTTCGCGTTGTCTGAAATAATGAATTAGTTATTGCTTCTTATTAATAAATTAAACCGCTTTTTCAGAACGCTTAATTTTTTACTAAGTACCGCTTATTGAAAGTATTAAATATGAACAGTAACAAACTAAAACAACACTGCTTTGAACAACGGTTCCGTGCTCTATATTTATAGTAGTTCGGATAATTTCCAGAAACCTGAGGTAATGATTCTGAATTTTTCAGCCAATGGAGATGTCGGAATTATAATTATATTCCATATAAATTATAATCTTTTTGACAAAAAATACGGTGTTAATGCTTGTGCTTTGTTGTATGAAAATGCTAACAAATAATTGATTAAAATTTCATCAGAGAGCTTGTGGAGCATCGCTCATCTTAAATTCAGTCGGCTTTGGATTTTTTGTATTTAGGATTTTAAACGACATGACTGGGATTCCATTTGTAGTTATTAGTGGGGTCTAATATCCTAAAAGCCCATTTTTTTTTTTCGCACTCTCTAGTCACTCCACTATTTTATATAAAAATTCCTTCATCATCTACTTACGCACGCTGAGTGGAGCCTTTCATTTAGTGTCACTCTTAACAGTTTTAGCTTGTTTTGATAATTTCCATCTACATCAACTAATGACGCTTCCTGTCCTCAGTTAGTTACTCAGTAAACTTCTTTCATCTTTTTGTAAAGATTGATTTAACCACCTTTTTTTTATTGTATTCAAAGGATGCATGCTTTCCTAACTTTTTTTTTTAACCACCAAATTTTAAAGTGAGTCCCCTTCCATTACCATTAGGTTCACGCATTTAATGAGCTTATGACTTTGTGACAAATCTCCAACAGCCTTATCACCTTATTTACATTGAGTAATTCCAAAATCCTGCCTACTTTTACTTGTTAAAACCACCGATTATATTTTCTTTCTGGCATCTAAGCTCGACTTACATATATCTTATAAGAGTTAGTACTTATCTTAAATTTACTTTAAACGCTTCATTTTAGCGACAGACTATACTTCTACCTGCTTAATTTCTTTCGCTCCAGAACGCCAAGTTCATGACCTGTCCCCTTAAGTCAGTTTCTTCGATGTTTAAAAAGTCGTCCACCACTTAAGAAAAATTTAACCTCAAAGTTTTTTTCTTCCAGATTCTACTTGTCCTGCTAGCAGTTTTAATAAAGAGCTTCATCTCGGACATTCTTCGTTGATCCCAAAGATATTTAGTTAATATTTTAAATTTTTCTTATAAGCCAGCATCTCTTTTTCTCTTTGAATCACATTTCTGTTTTTCTCTATACTTCTATTCTTTATTTCTCATATCCTATCATACGGCACGAAACAGTTTAAATGACTACAAGCAAGGATTTGCTAGCAACTATAGTAGCACGTTACGAAACTTTTATGGCCAGGCTGAAGGAGGGCTTGTTGGTATGGAGCCTGAATACTTTGGAGTCAAGCTGGAAACATATAATAAAGTAATACAGAGTTTTAAAGCTTCCATTTGCTTAATAGTAGGAAAAAAAGATTCTTCAGATGTATTAGGTTGGTATAATGCTATGGTGACTCTTTATATTTATATATGTAAACTATCGCTTATTTTTGTTAATTTTAGTATAGCTTATTAAGCTTTGTTTTCATAATAATTTAGTTAAGTCAAGAATGGATGACGTTACAACTCACGACTATAAAACAAACACTGAAAGTATATTATATATATTATTTTTGCGAGAGTTAACAAAGTGTTTATCTTTCAACGTTGTAGAGTCATATTCCTATATGTAATATACTATAAATTTTATGTGTTAACCAAAGACTTGAACTCTCTTATGGCAGAAATGGTTACAAATGCTAAGCAACTGGAAAGTGTGAAATAAATAGTATTTTCATAACTAATTGGTTTTGATTTACTTATTTTAAATTAAAGCTGCATTGTTAAGTTTAAAGAATTATTGTACGAGTTATCCCCTTCAGCAACTTGAAGCTCAAATTAAAACTCTTGAAGATGACATAAATGATAAGGAGATTTTATTATTAAAGTTTTGCACACTCTCTAGTTTTCTTTGGTTTTTTTATAACACTTATTCTTTTTAGAAATCGTCAAAAATTATTACAATGGCAAACTTGCTTGAAAAATTTGAAATTAAGACAACAAGATTTAGTTAAAGAACTCAATTAAATACTTAAACTTTTTGGATTACATAAAAATCCTTCCCAACCTAACATTTCGCTTTTACATTTTTATTATCTTGTTTAATATATAATATTTGACCTTTTTCCAATTGTTATTTATATTTTTATGTAGCCTACAACAAAAAGGTTTTTTTTTTGGATTTTAATTTTTTTACACTTAGTAAGATTAAAACTCACTTGTTAAGTTTAAAATGAATATACATCTACTTAAATATATACGCTCGAAGTTTTAGTACATAATTTTTTTACATTTTTTGTTACTGCGCTTTTCATGCTCTCCTTTTTTATAACTACATGGGTCGTAAGGATTGTTTTACATTACTTTTTAATATAAGTTCAGCCTTACCTGGGTAACGCCTAAAGTTACTGAGGTTCCTTTCATATTTCCATATTATTTTTCTTTTAGCAAAACTAGATTATAAAAAGCTTGTGAAGACCATAAAATTTATAACACTACAACCTCGTAAATTTCTAAAATTTGAGATTAACTGCAATTTTATAAAAGTGTGTTAACCTGTTATGGATACACGAATTCGACGCTTTCTTAATCTTGTAGATGGGACTACTTTGTCCAGAGTCTATAGTTTACTAAGTTGAGGTAGCTTAAAGGTTTAAAGGCCCAACCTTTTATCTTTTCCCGAGGCAAACTACTTCCAGAAATCTTTCTAAAAAAGTTTATCTCAGGCCTTTAAAGACTTTGGCTATTATAAACAAAGAAACCATTTTAAAAATAACTAAAAAGAAAGTAAAGTTAGCACTCGGTTACATCGGTGTAAAGATAATAAGAAAACCTTATAAAATACCGGCATTTACTAATATGAAAGAACGAAGCTATAAAAATACGCGGACTTGTAGTATATTAAATTCATAGCGTACCGTATAATACTCAGCTGTTAGTTGGTTATATCAGAAGCTTAAAGTTCCGTGGGTATTTTATGAGCAAAGAAAACTTAGCGGCTTATCATTATTTATTTTTAACAAGGAAATCTGACATTAATATTTTTTTAACGCTCAGTTAATAAAAGTAAAGAGGCCTTAGCTTACATTCTTCCCTTAATTTTACTCTATATTTGCGTAATGACAATAGTAAAAAGATAGCGCATTTTTAAGTTTTCTTATTTATTAAAAAAAGCAAAATATATATTTTTCTAGTTTTTTTTGGGCTTTATTCTTTTGTTTTTTAAGCGGTTTAATCTTACAAGCCTAAGGGTTTACTAAGGAATAGTTTTTACAAGATAACAAGTTTTTTATATTCAATGTTGACTTTCCTTTGGACGACAAGAAAGATAAAGTATTTTATAAAATTGGAGAACCAATCCTACACCTACCTCTTTTCATGGCTAAAATATTATATATAACGAAGACTATTTTCTCTTAATATTAATAGGACTTCAAACTTGAATTTTTCTATACTATAGTCGTATAGCTACATTATAGAAGCGGAAGACCAAGCTATTAATAAGGGCCTTTACGTGTAAAGCAGCTCCAGCAATAAAAAATTAAAAATATCTACAAACTATTATATTGCCTTAAAACCAACCATATCAGCCTTTTAATGTGATAGCTTCTTTCCTTGTTTTGCTCTTGCTGCGCTTTCAACTATTTTATAATAGTCAATCTGTAACCTAATACTTTTAATAATAATGAAAGTAGAGCTATGCATTGAAGATAACGAGAAACGTAGTCGTGGAAATAAAACCTACACTGTTTATTTAGTTATAACACGAGTAATGTTTTAAGATTTTATCATTATACTTTTTACATCTTATTGTAAGCATGATAGTGCAACTCAGGAACAAAAATATCACCAGGAGAACACAAAGTTTGGCGTCGTTTTTCGGAATTTGTTTCTTTGCGAGAATATCTTTCAAACAAATATCCTGCCGTCGTACTGCCTCCGCTGCCTCCTAAAGATTTCTTATCTTTAAAAGACGCTGCTTATATAGAAAAAAGAAAATTAGGTCTCCAGACATTTCTTCGGTAAAGTTTTATTTAATTTATATGTTATGTAATAAAAGTTTATTTATATTATTTTAGACGAACTTCCTCTCATCCTAAATTGTTGGAAGATGAATACTTTTGTCAATTTCTTTCCGCCGAAGAATGGGTTTTTTTTTTAAACTTTTTATTTTAACTTTAATTATATTATTATATATAACTTATGTTTTATTTTTTTAAATATAACGTAGACGCCTGTGAAAGCTAGAGCTCTAAACTTCATACCTCAACGAAAGGCAGCTTTCCTACGCATATACATATTCTTTATTTATTCTAATGGCTTCTGCTTGCAGGCTAAAGAACCTTCATTTGAACTTTTAAACAAAAATTCAAAGGCGAAATCAACAAAGAAAGCTCTTCAGTTTTTTGTTAAAAATTTTTCATTGTTAAATTCTAATAATTTGGGTATTTTATATAAATTTATAGTTATTCAGTACAGATTTTATTTTATATTTAAATTAATTTTTTTTTTAGATATATCTTTTGAATTTGATAAAAATTGTCGAGCTTTAATTAAATTAAGCGAATTTGATTCAAGAAATAAAGATTTCTTATTAAAAACTGGAAAGCAACTTTTCTTTTTTATAGCTTTTGCCGTTAATTTAAAAAAGTTTCCATAATTAATTATTTTAAACTTTGAATACTTATTTATTCTACAATTTATTTTTACATAAAAATAAAATCCAAAATTATTAATTTAATATTTTTATAATAAAAATTTTTGGCTGGAAAACTTTATAACTTTTTTTTTGTTCAACAATGTTTTATAAATTTCCAGTTTTTTTATATATTGAACTTTTACAGAACAAAATTATCTAAAAGTTATAGTCAATTACTTTTTTTATATCTTCACTCGGTTAGGTATTTTTTTTGAAAAGGAATCGTCTCTTTTGAAAAAGAAATATAATGAGGAAAAGATTTCTTTTATAAATGTATTGAAAGAATATATTGGTTTAATGGATTCTGTTGTCGTAAGTTTTCGATTATTATAATTTTTATATAATTTTTCATTTATTTATTTTTAATTTTAAATGTTTAATGTATTTTTTCCTTTTAAATTTTTTAATCTCAAATTAATTGTTTATAATATTACAAATAATTTTTAATTCCTTGTCTTTTATAAATTTTTTATCTAAATCTAATTTTTTTAATTTATAATAATTTAAAATTTCTTATTTTTATTCTCTATAAATTTTTTAATCTAAATATTATATTTAACTTATAATTTGAAAAAGCTATCCACTCTTATTATCTATATTTAACATTATAAATTTATAATTTGAAAATATTTTTCTTTTTTTCTTTTAACTTTTTTTATCGGAATTAAATTATTTTAACGTATTTTAACTAATAAATTTTCTATTTTTTTAATTTTTTAATCTAAATTTAAATATTTATAATTTACAATACTTAAAAAATTTTCTATCCTTTTCCTTTATAATTTTATTATCTAAATTCACTTATATTCAAGTGAATCTTTTAAAATTAAATAATTTATAAAAATTCTTTACTTTATAAATTTTCTCATTGTTTTTCACACTAAAAAAATTTAATTAAATGTTTTACATTTAGTTAGTTAACTTATTAATTGAAAATTTTTTATATAAATATATGGTTTTTTTATATAACCAGTTTAATTCCAAGTTTTTTCTTAAAGATTTTTATTAATAATTTTAAAAATATATTTTTTCCCCTTGTAACGATCTATAGTTTTTTGTATTTTTTTTAATAGTTATACTTTTGTTTTTAAAAATTATCTTCAAGATTAATTTGAATTACAAGATATTTTTATTTTTGATTAATTTTATTTATAAGTTTAAATTTACTTTTGATTAAATTTACTTTTTATAAAATTTTAAAAATTACTTTTATATTTATATATATGATAGGAAGTTGTTCGAAAATACCATAAAAAGAAAATCTCTGCTGAAAAACAAGCCGATTTATATGCTAATAAGGCAATATTTCTTAATATAAATTAATAAATTTAAATTTTCTTAATAATATTAGTAAAATATTTAACGTTTTTTGTGTTTCAAATAATAATAATAAATAATTTTTTTTAAAATTCAAAGAGCTAAGCGTTTTTTTTTGCAGAGTAGTTTTTTTTCCAATAAAATAATTGCTTTGAAGGCTTTAATAATTGTGAAGAATTTTTAAGCCAATAATTTTGATATTTTAATTTTTCATAAATTTATTATAATTAAAAAAATTGTAAATTTCTGCTTTTTTTTTTTTTTTCAATTTTTTTCAATATTTTAATTGCTGATTTTACTAGCCTTAAACCCCGAAACTAGTACATGTTGTAAAGTATATATAATATTAGAGTATAAAGTATATTATAGACCTTTCCGTATTATTATCAAGTGTTAATAAAAACTCAAAACACAGTAAGAATATATATGATAAATATAAAGTTTTGAAAAGCAACACATCCAAAGCGAAAACAACCAATTATAAAATAAAAAAAAGTCGTGCGCGCGCCATACCATATACCTAACACATTTAGCCCTCGAGGGTTGCCAATGAGTGCATAATTAAAATCATCGTAATAATTTTTATACTTTTTTTAGTTTTTAAAATAATAATTTGAGTTTTTTTTTTATTTTTAAAAGTTAAACGAAATTTTAAAACTTACAACTTTTTTTTTATTTTATATTAAAGTTATATATAATTTTATTATTTTTTATTTTTATTTATGATTTTTTTGTTTCATAAATTTTTTTTTTAATGGAGACTAATTTAAATATTAATAATTTTTTACTTTTTTTATTTTATATTATGACAAAATTATATAATTAAAAAAAGTAGATTTTCTATAAAAAGTAAATTATCTATGACTTTACTTTTTTTTTTTAGATTCGCGAATTGCAAGAACACGAACTTTCTGAAGACGGAAATTTCGGTTGTTTGAGTATTTTATAAACCTTTATAAGTGAATTTGTTAAATTTTACAAGATAATTTTATTATATTTTTATTTTAAAATATAAATAAACTATTTACTATTTGTTAAAGTTTAGTATATTTTGCATATAATATCTTTTTAAATTTTATAAGTATTTATGAATTATAAATTTTTTTTTGTAATTTGCAAATTTTATATTTAATATCATTTTTTATTTATAAGTAAAAGAAATATATTTTAATATTTTGTAAAAGTTTAATATTTTTCATATAATATTTTTAAAATATTACAAGTATTTAGATGTGAATACCCTATAAACTTTTTTTCGTAGATTTTTAGATTTTATTCTAAATTATTAATTTATATATTTTTTAAATAAAAATAAAAATAATAATGTTATAATATTTTATAAAAGTTTAATATTTTTTATATTTTTTTTGTAATTTTATTAGTATTTTTGGTTGACTATTTTATAAATTTTTATTTGAATTTTATTCAACTTCATTGTAAATAAGAATAATAATATTATTTGTAGACTGTAACTTATATATATTTTATCGTGAAATTTTAACGTCGCCTTCTTCTCTTTATAAAAATTTTATACAAATAATAAAAAATTTTATATATTTTATTTTTTTTAATAAAAGTTTTTTATATTATTTATAATAATGCTTATCTGAATTTTGATAGAAATTTAAAGTTTTATATGTTTTATAAATTTTTATAACTATTTTACTACTCTGAAAAATTCTTTTATTTTTCTTTTGTGGCTTTAAAAATAATATAATTTTATTTTCAATAAACTAAAAAAAATTTAATTTTATATTTAATTTATTTTAAATATATTTTTTTTTTGTTTAAAACTTTTTTTTAATTTATGTTTTATTTTTTGGTAATAATGAAATTATTTTTTTTTTTGAATTTGAAAATTATTAATTTATTAATGTTTTAATATAAAAATATTTTATATAATTACAAAATATTTTTATACGAATTTATTAGTTAGAAAATATTAAGATATAAACTTTTTATATATTTGTTTAAATATTTTATATATTATTTTTATTATTTATTATTTATTTTTTATAAAATTTATATTTTAAATATTTAGTAAATATTATCTTGCAAAATTTTTTTAATATATTATTTAATATTCTTTTTTAGAAAATTTACATTATTTTAACTTTTTTTTTATAAAGTAAAGAAAAAATCTAATATATAAATATTGTTTATTTTATATATATAGATCTTTTTATGAACTTTTTATAGGTAATATTATTTTTTTTCTGATATTTATATTTTTATATTAACTATTTATTTAAATATATCTTTTTTTTAATATATTATAATAATAATTTGTATAATTTTATATAAATATAAACTTTTTAACAAGTATTATTTATTTTGAAGGTTGTTTATTAAATTTAAATATTGTTTTATTAAAAGTATAAACACCCAAACTTCTGTTATATTATTTTGAATTTATGTAAACTTTTTCTTTGAAATTATATATATATAGAAATTTTTATATTATTTTTAAGTTTATATAAAAACTTTTTTAATAAATATAATTTATATTTTATAAAATAATAAAAATATTTCTTTCGAATAAAATATTTTATATAATATTAACAAGCAAACTTTTAAATATCTATACTTAATATTTTGTTTATTAATATTTAATAATCTTCTATAGACAATAAAAAATTAACTTTTGAATATTTATAAAATATTACATAACTTTTTTTAATTGTATTTCTATTTATTTTTAATTAGTTATATTTTTTTAGTACATTCTTTTTGAAAAATATTATTTTATTAAGAAATTACAAAAATATTGAATATATTTATTTATTAATTAACTTTTAAACTTCAGTTTTATTCCCATAAATTTTTTTTACTTTTAAATATTATTTACCGAATTAAATTTTGTAAGTAAAGTAAAATTTTTTATATATTTACAATATATTTTTTATATAATTTTCTTATTTTTATTTATTCGTTGTTTGTTACTTATAAAATATTATTTAACGAATTTAAATTTTATAACGAAGTAAAATTTATTTGTTATTATAAATTTTTAGTTTTTTAATAATTTTTAAAATATTCTAAAAACTAAAAAGTTTTATTTGTTTTTAATATAAATTTTATATAAAATGGTTTTAATTTTTTTATATTTTTTAATTTTTTTTTTACTTTAATAATTTAATATTTTTTACGATTTCAGATTTTATAAAAAGTCAAATTTTATTTTTACTATAAATTTTTAATTTTTTTTACTATTTTTAGTAAAACTATTTCAAGCTTTCTACTTATCTCTATTATAATTTAAATGTTTTTAGGTGAATACAAAAATAAATATATTTATGAACTAAAGTTGTATTTTAAATTTTATTATTTATATTAAAAAACTTTTTGTATATTTTTTACTTTATAATTAATAAAATATTTTATTAAGCAAATTAGTTTTATATAATAACGGACTTTATTTTTAATATTTATAATAAAACAATAAAAAAAATTATATTGTAAAAAGTGTACATAAATTTATATAAATTTTTTTTATAATAATTAAAAAAACTTTTAAATAAATTTTTAAATTAAACAAAATCTTTTTGCATTTCTAACAAAAATATTAAAAATTCATACAATAATAAATTAACAATTTTCTAATATAAAATAGAATATTTTTATATAAAATTTTTCATTTAATTTATAACTTCAATTAATCTAATTTTTATTGTCGTTTAGTAAATGAAACCAAAACCTTTTAAATTTTTATATAAATAATAAAAATAATTATATTAAAAAAAAAGTTTACACATTTTTAACTTCGTTTTATTACTTTTTTTAATAATTTTTTATTTTTTATTTTATATTTATAATTATTTTTTCTTTTTTCTTTTTATACTTTTTATAGGCATTTTGGGAATATTTAAAAGGCAAACCCCAGAACAATATCGAGCGCATCTTGACTTGTTACGAGAATGTTTAGAGGAAGTAATATTTATTTTAATTCATATTAAAAAAGATGGTTTTTATAATTTCACAAAATTTGGAATCTCAATTAAAAGTAATTTATATAGAGAAACTTATAATTTTTAAAAGTTATTAAAGTTTAAAAAAAAAATTGAGATTTTTTTTTACAATTTCACATCATAGAGCAACCAATAAAAGTACTTTATATACAGAAGTTATTAAACTTAAGACGTTTTTTTATATAAAGATCGTAATATAATAAAAAAGTGGAGTTTACTTCTTAATAAGTTCACAAAAAAATAAGGCATAAATTTAATTTTTATACAGATATTAATAATCTTGAAAAGTTATTATATATATATTTATAAATATACAAAAAATTGTAAGATTATTTACTATTTTTTTGTAAACTTTGATAATAATTTTTTCATTACCGTTAAATTATTATAAAAGATTTAAATACATTTTATTGACTTTTATAAAATTATAATAAAATAAAGACATCGAAGTTATAATAATAACAGAAAATATCAAAAAATAATACAAGTATACTTTTGAAGGACCTTTAATTATGGAGGAAAAAAAATTAGATTTCTTTATTTATGTGATATTTCTGTAACTACAAAATTATTATATTTTGTACAAAAAAAAACAAGAAACAAATATAGATTTTTATATATTTATGAATTTATAAAAATTTTTATTAAGAACAAACAATAAATTTAAAAATCGTTAACTTTTAATCGCTATAAATTTCTTCATATTTAAATACTTTTATGTATTAATATATTTTGATAATAAATTATAATTAATTATAACTTTTTTTTAACAAAAAAAATAAATTTTTTGCTTAATTTAATTATATAATAACTTTTATTTAATTTAGTTTATAATTTAAATTTTATCCTATTTATAAGGAAAAAAAGAAAACAGTTGAAGCTGAAAAAGAGATTGAAGAGTACACTCGAACGGCTTTAGAAGAGATTCGGTTTTTTGATGATCTAAAATTTAAAGAACTTCATCAAATTTTTGTAGATTATGCAAAAGTTCAATTGGATTTTTACAAAAAGGTAATTCCTCTATAAGGATTATTTTTTATTAAAAAAGTTAATTATAAGAAGAGTATAAAGCAAGATGAAAATTAATTATTTTTTATTATAATTTTTTTAGTTAATGAATGTAGATATACTTTTATAAATTTGAAAAGTTATTAATTTATTTTCTGTTTAAAAGTTTTTAATTCGAGTTTAATTTAGCTAAATAACCCTTTTATTTTATATATTTTTACTTTACTATATTTATTTCTGATATTCTGTTTTATTAAAGGATCTGGAAAATTGGAAGAATTTAGAAGTCGCAATTAAGGATTAAAATATTATTATACCTGTTTCCTACAACTTTTTTTATATATAAATACTTAACTATTTTCTATTATGCCACTTTTATATTAATTTAATAATAATTTTAAAAGTTATACTTTACGACTTTTAAAAAAGTTATAAAGAAATTTTTCAAGTGATATAATTTTATTAAGCATACCGCAATTTCCTTTTAAGGGTTACTCAATTTCATAAGTAGAAACGTTTTGGAACAACACTACGAATTAAATAGGGCTTTCTAATAAAAAATATATTAAAATATTAAAAAATTTAATTAATAATTCTCCATAACTATAATTTATAGGCGCCATTTACAATAAAAATTATAAAACTAATCTGAAATTCCTAATATTGATTTCTGCTAGTATTAAATTTTTTATTTAGTAATTATTTAGTAATTATTATAAAATAAAGATTTTCTAGAGAAATATATAAATTTGTTAGAGCCCAAATTTCAAATTTTTTCGTAAAGCATTTACTAGTTTTCACTATTGAGTTAAGCCTATTTAATTTTTAAAAATTCCCCCTTAATATTTCCTCACTCACTTTTGCTATATAATAATTTTAATTGAAACTTATAATGTAAGTAAACAATAAATTTAATTTAATTTATTATAATTTTTAAAAAAATTATTAAGTTAATCTAATAACTATTTTTTATATTTAATTACGTAAACTTTTTAGCCTAAATTTCCAACTAGTTTATATATAATTTTCTACTAAATATACAAGCGCAGCTCGAAAGCACGCATTGATTTATAAATTTAAACTAATTCAGCTCACACTAACTTAGAGTTTTCGAGTTATCCATTACGAAGCGAAAATAAGCAAATTTATTTTCTTTATAAATAATTGCGCTAACGAGCGATTTTTTAAAGTCTCAAAGAAGCGAGACTGGTTCTCGAGGTCATTAAAAATACTTTTATTTTTATTTGAATATCCAATTTTCCTAGCATTTTTCCAAGTTTTTAGTGTCAGTAGCTTGTTAAGATGCTTCGATATAGAGAATTGTATTTTTAAATTATTTTTTATCAAGTTTTTTGCTTACTAGCTCTCCTCTGGCTATGCAAGTCATTTTCATAACAACCTTATTTAATTTTTATTTACTTTTTTTGCCAAGATAATTTTTTCTTTTTAACTCCTTTTCAAAACTTGTTAAATATATTTTGTTTATTAGTATATTTCATTAAGTTAGAAGTCTCTTTATACGAGTGCAAACGTGTTATCAATGTTCTTTATTCACACTGAAATGCTTTTGCTTACAGAAAATTAATGCGCTTTAGCCGCTGTAATTGCTTTAAATTTTCTACTACTACTACTACCTATTATTATTATTATTATTATAACTATTATAATTATTATTACCAAAAATCATGTAGGATTGGCATCAGCCTCACTTTAAAAAAAGATTTTAGCTCTTGCATTGTTTGTTTCTATTAACAGTTAAAAAATAATCTTGTACACTTATAGCAAACTATAAGGGCAAAAAAGTACTTGTAGAACCTTTATTTTTAGACTCAACCCTTTTACCTATATCAAAACTTGACGACCTTAATTTTTATAAACTTATAAACTCGAGCTTTTAATTGTTAATTAAAAAAGTCACTTGTTATAAAAATCTATAATGCTTTGAATTTTTTTTCAAAAGAATGAAAAACAAGCACTTGGTTCAACAAGCCGACAACAATTAAATTTTAAAAAAGATACTTTAGCAGTTTTGACCCTGAGATTTACCGTTATATGCTTATAGTTTTATTATAAATTATAATTAAAATATTTTAGTATGGTAAAAAAAGTTTGTAACATAATTAATATCTAAACTTAATCTTCTTTAAACTCGCAAGTTGCTAAGTTAGTTAAAATCAACTTGAAATAATATTTTTATTAGGAAATGGTAATTGCTAAAGTTAAAAATCACTTCGCAGATTTCGAAAATTGAAGGATTTTAACTTTTGCTTGCATCTAAAAATCCTTAGAAGCTTTTTTGCTAAAAAAGAAATAATTTCACTTTCTTTAATTAAGTTCTTCAACTAAAATTTTATTATCAACCTCAAAATTAGCGACTATGTTTTTTCTTGTTTTTTTAAAATGCTTTCAACCATTTGAGATTTATTTCCAGAAGGCGTCGATCCATAATCTAGAAGAATTTTTTTGAGTTCTTCATTTTTTAAATGTTGCAGTTGACTTTTAGAATACTTGGGAGTTAGGCTGCTTTCTGCCCATAAAAAAAAAATGAAAAAATACAAAATTAAATTTAATTTGTTTGTTACAAGTAAAAATTTTTGCTTAATTATAAAAAATTTACTTTTGGGTTTATCCTCTTGCGTTCTCGATCGTAAAGTGCGTGTTTGTCTAGTGGGAGTTTCAACTTTAACGGGATTATTAAGAATTCTAGAATTACTTAAGGTATTTCTTTTGGACTGTCTATCGATAATAAGAAAAGTTATTGAAATTCTTCAAAAAAGGCTCTAGTTTTTAAAGTAAGGAGACTTGGCCGCTTTCCCTAATAATTCTCCTTGTATGTAGAAATAGATAATAGTGAATGTCAGTGATACGCCAGCCAGAAAGCCCACTTTATTATATAATATTAATTATTGCTATGGAAACTATTGTATTTTCTCAAACTAGCAATGTACCCCAAGACAACAAATCTTTAGAGTCCATATATTTAAAGCCTTGTATATTCTCATACCTTTAAAGTGAAAGTTAACAAATAGTTTAATGTCTTGTCTTCTTTGTAATTGTTCAACTGAAAATAAATAAGATCACTTACAACCAGCTATTCAGTTTACTGAAAAAGTCATTTTCGTAGCTGCTCATCATTGAAGGCTTATTCATGAAATTGTTAACAATGGAAAAGTGTAACTGTTTTAAAAGTTTATACAGCAAGAGCTAATTATCAGGATATTTATTAAAAAACTGTATTGTACTCACCCTTATAGAACTTCAAAATGTTTAAAAAAATATAAAAAGGCATACACTCTTTATTAAGGTTTAAACCAACCATATACGGGTATGAATAAAACTTTTTTATTTCTTGGTACTTTTTCAACATTATTAATAGACGTAGTTTTTTATAAATTATTACTTAAAAAAATATAAATTTCAATTGTTTAAAATTAAAAAACACATGCAAAATTGAAAATTTTTGTTTTTTATAACGTAATCTATCAGTTTATAGATTAGCCTCAAGCCAGGGAAAGCGGGGAAAATAAACTGCATAAATAATTTAAAATAGCTCACCTCCTGAAAGTCTATAGATATTATTATTTAAAGTTTAAAATTGTCTACATTTCTTTGACATAGAGCTCGACAACACAGTAAAGCAAAGGTTATTTTAGTTACTTATTGCTATTTAAGTTTAAATTTTTTGAGAAGCCTTATAAACTAAGTTGCAGTGTTCACGTTTCGAGGTAACACTTTTTAGAATCATTCTTACCCATAATTCTCATTTTCTGGCGCAACCGTTGAGATTTTAAAAATATTTTAAAGGTTCTTCATATTAAAGATAGAGAAAATAATAATTTTTCAGTTTACTTTGCTTTAACTTTGGCTAAACATGTTTTAACTGAAATTACATTTTTTGTTTCATGTTGAAAAAAGTGCAAAACTTTAATTATTCAAATTCTGCTGATTTAAAACTAAACTTAATGTAATCTTTAATAAGCTAGTTTTCTAACCATTATATAACTCGTAAAGTCACAGATTTCATAACTTTTTGCATAAAAGTTTATGGGTAACTGCCACATATATTTCTCGCTTCTACATTTATGCCCACCGTACGTTTCATTCCAGGACAAACGCTTTAGTTAGCAATGCACATATTTTAAACTCAAATGAACACCTTAAAATTAGGTAGGTGTTTCTCCGCTATCAACTTTCGTTCTTTAGCTATCTACAAACTTTTAGCTTAGTTATATAAAATATAACAAAAGTTTGCAATATATTAGAACAAGCAGTGAAATGCATACGATCCTTATTCAACTCAAAATGGCCCTTTTGAAACTTGATAACTTATAACTAAGAAAACCGACACACTTTCATAAGTTTAAATATAAGTCCGCTAACTTTTAATTGCACTTGCCTTGCTATATGCACACTTTTCAAAGTTTTAACAAAATCGATATTTTACAATCCTGGGATTTCGGCTTTTGACTTGACTGTACTCGCAACAATGGAACTTTCTATAAACAACTACTTGTGAAAAGCAGTACACTTAGTCACTCTAATTTATAGCAATAATTTAGCCAACGTAGCTCTCTATATTATTTCAACCACAATTAGTGAAGCTACAACCCATTTTCTGAGTTTATAGCCTTTAAACACCTTTATCAAAAAAAGATGAGTGCAAATCTTATACCTTTCATACCATTTCTAACTGAAAGAAACTTGAGATGAGGGTACAAAAATTGATAACTGTACAAGTTGTTGGCTTGAATTCTAATATAAAAATCTATGTCACGTGCTTTCTTCACACCTGCAGCTTTAAAATGCTTTGGATAATTATAATTACCCGAGTAGAAAAGTTAATTTACTTTAAATACCTTTTAATAAATTTACAAGACATTATAACCGTGGTACGTAAAATTTAATTAAGCGCGGACTTTTAAACAATAATTACAAATTACTTGATTAAAGTTTACCATGTTTATATCGTCCCTCTTCTTAACTATTTCTCTTTTAAAAAATGGAGAAAAGATACTTAATAAATAGGTTAAGTGACCTACGCTGCCGAGTGAAAAGATAAAGGAAACTATATAAAAAGAAGCCAGATAATATAGAAAAAATTATATAAATGATAGACATGATAAAAATACTCAGAAAGATATATTTTAGCGAGAAAGGTTCACGAGAAATTTTATCAGAAATTGTCGCGGTTAGAAAAGAGTCATATGTTAGCTGTTGCCAAACCATTAGGCGTAGCAAGTCTCTTAACAGTCATTATTATATTATCTTTCGTAATAATATTAATATGATGATAAACAATCTAATATTTTATTTAGTATTATTAATATTTTCCGGTGTATTTATGCTGGTTCAAGTATTCCTCGTGTAATTTCTTCAGAATTAACTGGCCAGCGGCGTCCAGATGGATATGCAATGAATCCAGCTCGTGACTCGAAAACATGTTAAATAGTGAATAAACCCCTAATTGGATGAAAGAATAAGTAGCGCACAATAATAATGAAACTAACATAGCTTTTTGGCAAGAAAAACCAATGATATTTGCTAAAATTTATAAAGTTACCATAGCAAAGTAAACCTAACAACGTTAGTAATGCATAAATACAACGTAATTAAAATAGCTAATTAGCAAAAAAAATAATAATATTTGCTATAATAAATGATGTAACAAACAGCGAAGTACTGCGGGTCTTATTACAATTACTATAGAGGCACGTTTATATATGTCATGAAGGAACGAGTATGATGCCTTGCAAAAGAGAAGATTTGTGAGATGGAAGCATCGTTGACGATTTTGAAAGCTCAATATACCCATAAACTATAAAATAAGCGTATTTCCGAAGGGCAACTTTATAGTATGATATTTCTATAAAACATTTATAAATTGTATACATACAAAAAGTAAGAATAAAAAAAGAAACCTCTAAGTAAACGAGCCAAGTTTTCGGTATTTTTGAGAGGAAAAACTTTTTTTTACAGATATCGTTAATTTCGTACAATATGAAGGTCATTACATTTAAACCAATCATACTTGGTTCGAAAGAAACTTCCTTATCTTCATGGCAAGTTGTATAACTAAATATAAACTTCATCAACGCTAATAAGCGAGACAAAAATAGAGAAAAGCAAGGTAGCAGGGCACCATAATTTCGTCGCAAAAGTATATATAGAGCTTTGTACTATCAAGTAAAAAGTGTAAAAATTTAAAAAAAAAACTTTCTTTCAGTATTAATAGTATACCTGAAAATCGTAAAATTTCAAGCTAAAGTAAAAATCAATATTATTATTATCATTTTTATTATTTAGTAGACTTTCATCAATCCTGGATTGATAAAGGCTGTCAAGCTTCCTGCACAGTTCGGGAGAGGGGATATACAAAAGACTGTGCAAAACGATGGTAACATCCTACCACGTTGTACATAGTCATTAACAGAAAGAAAAATAAAGTAGTCTTTATATGTGGTACAGGCATTGTAAGTTCAGAAGTTGCAATAGAAAGTAAAGCTAAAAGCGTTTCCAGCGCTTCTTTTATAAGTGGTAAATTATCCACATGTTCCGCCTCTGAACCAAGTTCGTAGGAAAAGCGTTGTAGTGCTTGCAAGGGGCCTTGAAAAAACTCGGCATAGAATTTTTTTACAAAATAACGCCGTTTCTGATCCGAACAATCTGCTTTGCAACTAATCAGTTATAGCATTCGGGTATACCGTAAATTATTGGTGGTCTAAAAACTCACAATACCAATTGAACAAAATCACCAACCACTTAAAAACGCACAAAGCACTTGTAAAGCATAGAAGGTAGAGCCCAGTCGGCGATAGTCCGAGCGAGACAGACTGCACTGCATTTCGTGAAGCAAACCAGCTATTACCGCATCAAATACAGCGAGGGGCTCCACAGAGAACAAATTTCTATGAAAAGATAAAAGAGAACGCAAGAGTTGAACGAAAGCGTCAGCAACCTAAACGACTTGCCCAGCAAATTAATAACACGCTTCATACTATTAGTGACTGATGTTCCTTTTTTAACCAGAGTAACCAACCACAGCACCAAAGAAAAAACGTGGAAGAAATAGGGGCGGTATACAGAGAGCGTCACGCACTGGCTGGCTGCTTTAACAAACTGCAAGTACATACAAAATCGCGCCGATGCAATGTTTTCGAGTACATCTGCGTTGGAAGGTGTCAGCTTTTTGAGTAACTCCTTAATCATGTAGCTGTATTTATTTTTTAGGAAAGGAGAATTTTGGGAGTGGTATAGCGTTTTCGCGAAAACGACGCACAGCCCCATAAAATGCAAGTTGTCGTCATTTTCCACGGAAAGGTACGTCGGGTTACGAGACAAATATTCAGGGATATATATAATACAGAGCTCCAGATAATGGATGAGTCTGTTCTGAATAACGCTGTAATGGGCATCACTACACGTTTTCTTTAGAAAGCCATGCAGCTGTCGGATCACCTCATATGTAAAGTATACTTAGGAAAATAATGAAGTTCATTACTATTACTGTACCGAAAAGAGAAGCGAAAGACGCTCAAGGTTACTATAGTGCGATAAACTACTTGTAAATACACCAATGAAGACGTTGAGAAGCTCCGGAACCAAATTGTTGGACTAAGCAGTTGTAATATAATGAATGGAATAGTTGCAACCACATTATTATATTTCGTACGTTAGCAAGAGCAACGAGCCAGCCACTTACTTGCCGCCGCTCTCCTGCAAAAAATTTATTAAAAAAACAAAGGAAAAAAGATTATGTTAACGAAAGAGCCTTCATCTAGAGGCACAACAATGTGCTGGTTTTTGTAAAAGAAAAATAGTGAAACGGCCAACTGCTTGTGGCGCTGAAGAGTGGAGGGAACAAGTTTGGTCGTTAGTAATCGCGTTTTCTTCAGAAGTATACCCCTTAAATGGCATGAAAAATAATGAATTTTGGGGAATAAGCTGGCCAATAGTAATATACGCTTCGGGTTTAGTGGACACGGAGTTAATGTGCAGGTAGGACAGTAATATACACTGAAGCGCCTGTATGAATGTGAATGACAATGTGAGTGGTCGAACAAAAGAACCAAGTGACAACACACAACTTATTGTGAAATTCACGTGTTTTGCAAACTGCGGGTTGGAGACCAATACTTACACGGGATATTAACAACCAAATACCCCCCAGAAAATAAAGAAGCAGTATTTACAATTGAGTAAGCCAATAGGCGGTCCGAACATGTGCCCGTGAAGGGCTGAGCCGAGTTCACTAAATCAAATGCGTCCATTAGAGCACTAATGACAGGCATCGTTTTCTCTAGTTTCTCCTGCTTTACTTTAACTATTAAAAAAAATTTTAATATGCTTAAAAAGTTTTGAAAATATAATAAATATAGTAGAAAAACCTTTTAAATAGTCGTCGGAGCTCAACAATTCTACTAAACGTTTCCACATAATTTTTTTTTTCAAGCGCTAAGTTCGTAAATTTATATAACTTCGACTGGACGTAATAGAGTGAAACCTTTTCTTGGTAGTTGGCTGAAGGCATACCCAAAAGAAGTTTTTCACTAGCAATTATTTTTAATTAGAAAAATTCACAATATTTTATGCAACACAATACCTCTTAGTAACTTGATGCAAACAAGTCAATAAATTATGACGAAAGAACTTGAGCACATGCCGAACTATAAATGCACATTCTGCGTGCCAAAAAGGCAATCGAGAAAAAGGTAGTCAATAGGAAGTTGCAATTGATATAAGAAAACCCACGTGGATGGTCCACATGCTCGCAAAAAACTTTCACTGAAAACTTGTGCAAAGCTGCTAGATGTGGTTCCCCGGTGCATGCGTGGCGGCTTGCAAGGGAAAGTGCGCGAAGCATGCACCTGCAGAGTGCTCTCGCCGGACCCCTATTGATCTTTCCAGAGCCCGTTGGCTCAAAGCAGCGCCCAAAGGAGGGAAGATAAGCGCAGCAAAGGCGCCAAATATAGAAAGCAAGGGTCGTGTGTCCGGCTGTAGTTAAAATAAGCATGAATCAATAAAAAGAATGAAGAAGTTTAAACTGCTGCTGAGGGAGAGATAAGCTTTGCTCACGTCAAAACTGGCAAGCAGCCAATCCGCGCTATCCAAACAACCTGCCAAACCTACAAAAAAATATTGTTTCCTCATCCAATCAAAAAATCAAGCTTTAATGTAGTAATTGTTTTAGCAAAAGAAATGGGTCAATCAACAGCAACCAAACGACCCCAAAAAGAATAACCAATGAGTAGACGTCTTACATACTTTTTTCAATATTTTTAAGGACTTTAGCAACAACACGCTTTAGAAAGGAAGAAAAAATGGTGAATAGCATTCGACATTCATTATCAATAGAATTTCTGAAAATATTAAAAAAATAATGACATCAATATTAATGTAAATAATGATGATACTTTATAGTTTCAGTGTTTTCATTGTTATTTTTACGAGCTTCAGTAATAAAATTGTGCTCTTCAGAGCGAACGCGTTGAAGCAAGAAAAGTATCTTTTTTAAAAAATAACTTGAAATAATATCCAATAAAAATTGATATCATTTGAATTTCACCAATAAAAAGGTTTCCTGCGCGTTGATATCAAAATCAGTACTTTCACTGAAGCCCCGTTGCAGTTTTTCAAGGCGCGATATAACATATTCCTTTACTGCGCAGTAAACTTCGCTTTGCAAAGACAAAACACCTAAATTCCAGCACCCAATAAAAACACAACTCCCCAAAAGCAGCCAATAGCTAAAGAGTACTCAACCGAGGCACATGGCACACGCCAGTTCTAATTCAAAAACAGAATAGAAGGCCAGCAAAAGCACGTGAGAGCTATTCTCTTCCTGAACTTTCTTCCAGCAGTTTTCGTATAAGCACGAAAGAAGTTTTTCAGATAAAGAAAAATATAAAGAAACAGAGCCTTAAAAATAATGATATTTATAATAATAATATAATAATAATAATAATTCGTAGTACCCGATAAAGGAAGTGACAGAACAAATGTTGAGAAGAGCACACATAAAAGAAGAGCAGATCCGTTATTATAGTCACTAAATTTATTGTTAAAAAAGTCCCAAAGCGCGTGGGCCTGGGCGGGGTTCAGGCAAGATACGCAAGTTCCATAGCTAGAGTATTGCAGTAACAACGATATAAATATTTATTAGCTGGTGTTGATCTATATTTAAAGGTAATACTTATTTATTATTAATGATATTTATTTTTATGGATATTATGAAAAAGTTATTATCCTTTTACAACTTTTTTTCATTAACAAGTTTGTATTTTTTATATAAAAATAAATATAATATATTTATTTAATGTGTGCTTTAAAGCATTTATTCATTGTTTTTAGTATTTTCATTACATTTAGTTATAAAATAAAATTTAGTAACGAAATATAATATTCTTTAATATTTTATAATCATTATTTACAGTGATTTCTACTCAACAATACAGTTTCATTATCTTGAGTGTATATAAAAACAATTACTTTATAAATATTTCCTTATTTATATTTAGTGGATAACAATAATAATTATAAAACATACTGAGAAAGGAGAAAAGGAGAAAGGCATAAACCGTCAGGAACCAATGAAGGTTCTGGAATCATGGCCGACACGAGGTCGTCCATTTTGCGCAACGAACTGTACGTTTGGATTAAAAGCGCGCCAAATTCAATACGAGAGGAGCTGATTAAAATAGGTAAGAAAATTATTAAAAGTCATGTTTACAAAAAAAGTTAACTTTTTCTCGTAATCGAACGGCGAAGCTCCCCAAATTAGCCCCCAGCAGGCGGCCAACGAATCGCCAATGCACAAATGCGTAATGTTAACCAATCGAATCAAACAATCATAGAGAGGATCCAATAGAAATTGTGTATTAAATTTATATAGAAACGCCACAATGTCAGAGAATAAGTTTTTGAGCCAATGAAGGATTTCGTTGGCGCTGAAAAAAATGCTTTTTTTTGATTCATTATCTGCGCGGTGGGGGAGCCTCCGCCGTTTATTGGGGACGCAAACTTCAGAGGACGGATTGTACACCTTTTAGTAAACAGAAGCAAAAAATTTTATAAATTTTCACTATTTTTCGCAATATATTAAAAAAAGATTAAAAAACAATATCAAATAATATAATGAAATACAACTTTAAAGTAAAAAGAAGCAAAAAAAAGTACATGAAAGTTTTCATTATTCTTCAGACAATAAATAAAGATAAAAATATTTCAAAAAATATAGTGAAGTACAACTTTTAAATAAAAGTTTGCTTTATTATTCGCTAAACGTTAAATAAAATTATTATAAATTTTATCAAACAAAATCTACAAATCATAATAATAAATGATTTGAAGTTCACATAAAAAAATTTCAGTAAAAAAATTGATTCATAAATATCAGAAAAATGTAAATAACCACAAAAAAATAAATATTAATAAATATGATTTACTTGTGCTTAAAAAAAAACTTTTAGAAATTAATTTAGTGAAGTTATAATATATTTATAAAACTCTCAAAATTATAAAAAATAAGTTCAAACAAATTTCGTATAAATTATAGTTATTGCTAGTAAATAAAAAAGTTAAAGTAAAATATATAAGAACTAATGAAAAAAAAAATAACATTATATATTAAAATAAATAAAATTAAAAAAATTGACTTGAATTAATTTAAAAAAATAATAATTAATTTTTTAATACGAATAAGTAAAGAAGAAAAAGTTATAAAAAGTAATTTACAAAAAAAACAAAAATATTAAAAAATAAATTAAATTAAAACTTGATTAAAGTGGATTAATAAATTTTTTATAAATTTATAATTATTATAAAATTTAAAAAAAAATTATTAAACTTATATACAGCAACTATAACAAGAACAAATGGACGATAATAAAAAATAAAGTGTACAAACTTAAAGTAATAATAAGTATAGAAGGAAAGAAAATAATTATAAAACAAATTCAATTAAATTTGAAGAAAAATTAAAAAAGTTACCTTCAAAAAAAAAGTAAATAAAAATTTTATAAAATATTTTAAAATGGAAAAAAAAAATTAATAATTGTGTAAAAAAAATTATAATTATAAATTTAAATTGAAAAAAAGAATTATAAAAGCAAATTTTTTATAACGTTCTTGAATCCAATAAGAATTTATATGACTTTTACTCAAAACTATAATAAATAAAAATGAAATTGAGCTTTCATAATTTTAATTAATATAACAATTTTAAACAAATATTAATAAATATATATATAATTTATATAATTAAAAATTATATTTTCTGAAAATTAATAAAGAAATAAAAAATTTTTAAGACAATAAATGAAACTGTGTAATTTACTTAAAAAGTTAAAAAAAAAATAAGTATTTACATATAAAAATAAAATTATAAAAAAAATAATTTTATAAAATTTAAATTTATTTTAAAGAATTAATAATATAATAGAAATTTAAGATTTTAAAAATGTAAAATTAGATTTTACTCTACAAAAATTAGAAAAATAAAATAAAATTTAATTTAATAAAGAAATAAATCAAAGAAAATTTAAGAATTTTAATTTTTATAAAAAAAATTTCAGAATTGAAAAGCGAATAACCAAAATTAAAATTAAATATAAAAGAAAATTAAATTATATATTTAGTCTACAAAATTATAAAAAACTTTAAAAAAAAATTTTTTTAAATTTTTTAAAGAAATTCAACTGAAAAGTGAAACAAGAAATTAAAAATTTCAATTATTAAAATTTATAAGAAAGTTGTAATAAAAATTTATTAATTTATAATTTTATATACAAAAAATAATTAAAAATATTTTTAATATTAATAACTTATAGAAGTTCCCCTTAAAATAAAATTAATAATTTTTGGATTTAAATAAACTTATTAATATAAAATATTGAAACTGAGAAATTTAAATACGTTAAAGTTACTTTTACTACTACTAATAATATATTTAAAAAATAGATAAAAAAATTGATTTTTATTATAAATTAATTAAATTTATAAAATTTCCCTGAAATTATAAAATATTATTTTAAATTTAATTCTATCGAATTTATAAATATAATAGAACTGAGAAGTATACATTCTTTAAAACTACTTAAATTACTACTAATTAATATTATAATAATAATGAAAACTTATAAATTATAAAAAGATTTAATATAAAAAAGTATATAAAATTTTTAATAATAGTTATTTCGTAAAAAAAGAATGAGAAGCATAAAAAATATTTATAAATTTTTAAAATAAAATCATGTGTTATTATTAATATAAAGATATAAAATGTTAATATCTATAAGAAATATTATTTATAACTGAAAAATATATATGAATATATAAAAATAGCTTTTTGTTAACAATATAAAATAAAATTCAAAAAAAAATTAAAATTTTTCTTCATTAATTTATAACTAATAAAATATTAAATAATATTAATGAATTAAAAAAATATTATTTACAACAATAAGAAATCAATTAAAAAGTTGATTTATTAATAATAACTTTTATACTATAAAATAATGAAATCATTAATCTAACAAAATTCTCTACTTTAATTTAAAATATATAAAAGTTTTATAAAATATAATAATAAAGTAAAATATAAATACCGAAAAAGACTGAAAGATATCAAGCAGTGCACTAAATATCTTGAAACCAATAAGAATCTTTTTGTAAATGTTTTTATTAAATTCAGTTTCCAACTTGAGAATTGCTATACAAATAATAATAATAATAATAATAATAATAATAAACAAATTACAATTCAATTCCAGCAAGTCGAACAATTTTAAAAAGAAATTAAATTGAGAGCCGGAAAGATTAGAAATTACTCTTCAGTAAAAAAAAATTTTAATTCAATTACCAAAAAATTAAAATAAAATTTAAAAATTAAAAATAATTTATAGTAAAAAATAACCTAAAAACTTTTATAAAATAATATAGAAAATAAAAAAAAGTAAATAAAGGAAATAAAAAAAAAAGAGAACCGCGCCTTTAGTTAATAAAAAAAAAAGAAATAATAAATTAAATTTCTTTAAAATTAAATAATTCGTAGAACAATAAATTTTTAAAATTTATACTACAAAAAGTTATGGTACAAGTTTTATCTTGAATATTATAATTTACAATTAGAAATTAAAAAATTATTAAAGCGAAAAGATTGGTATTAAGATTATTAGCAGGTACTAATTATAATAATTTTTTTGGGAAAGCAGTCTTGCAAAGTATATGTTATAATTAAACACAACTTACAAATTATAAATTAAAATATAAATCTTACTAGTTTTACTATTAATATAATAAACAATTTATAAAATTTACTAACCAAATTTATATTGTAAATATTAAAATAAAATTAGCAAAAAAAAGTTGTTTAAAAAATTTTTTTAAAGATTAATTAGAAACCATTGTAATATTAATTGAATAATTAATTAATTTAATAAAAGTTTAACAAAACAATAAATTTAAGTTTAAATTTATTTTTGTCGTACAAAACTTTTAAATATTTTTAAATAATAAATCTAGAATGTCAATTATTAAAAGATAATATATCTGTGCAAAGAATGCAAAACGTGAATTAAAAATTAATTTAAAATGATTAAAATTAAATATTATTATTGAAAAAAAAACAAAAATTAATAATAAATTAGCGGTCTTGCCAAAAAGTTTTCAATTTTTACAAAACAATTAAAAATTATATAAGTTTCTTACATTAACTAAAATGTTATAGTAAAAGAATTAATAATAACAAAAAATCCCAAAGTTTAAAGTAAAGGTTTTCTTAGTTTTTATACAACTAATAAAAAAATAACAGTTATATAAGAAAAAAGTTTGTAAAAACTTTTATATTAAAAAAAAGTTGTTATATAAAAAGTGTTAAGACTAAAATCTTGTATAATAATTTACTTAAAAAGTAAAATCTTAAAGTAATTAAGAAATTTTATAATAAATTAACTAAAAATAATAACTTTTAATTGGAATTTAATCCTATAAGATTGCTACTAAGAAAGTAATAATTAAAAAAAACTAAAAAATAGTACAAAATTAAACTAAATTAAACATTGTAAACTAAAAACTGTAAATTTTTATATAATTTAAAATAAAAAAATTCTTATTATATATTTTTATAATTAAAATTAAAAAAACTTATTCTCAATTTCACTTTTATTTATAAATTACTTTAATTCAAGTTTTCATACGCAAATTAAACAAATAAAATCACATTTAAGTTTAATTCTAAATAGTAATAAAATTAAGTATATAAATTATTTTTAAATCAAATTCATAAATCACAACAAAATAGTTAAAAATAAAAAATCAATCAAATAATAATGAATTATAATCTCACTTTTCTTCATGGAGCCTTTTATAATAATTTTTTAGTAGAAAAGTAAACCAGCGAACAGAATTGTAATCATTTTGAATAATTCGTTCCAGTGCAGTAAATAAGGAGTTGATATAACTTTTAAGAGGTTTTTTTTCCTTTATAACAAAAAATTAAAAAAAACGCTTCTAAAGATTAATAACTTTAAATTAAAATTAAACAGAAATTATAAGTTATAAAAATTAAAAGTTTTAAAATTAAATAAATTTTAGAAAGTTAAAAATAAAAAATGATATAAACCGCAGTGCAAGTAGAAAAAAGTTCGTGGAGATGAGAAGCTTCAAAAATGATCGAGGTAGTGGAATTATCCAGAACGTCAATAAACTTAAAAATTAATTTCTTCTCCAAATCGTTCCAATTGGATTTGTCTAAAAGTGAATGATTTCTTTCTGTCAATAAAATTACCGTTTCCAAAAGAATTCTACAAAAATTTTTAAAAGTCTGCAAACTAAAGTTAAATTTGAGCCAAAAGTAAAAAAGAAATAAAATATACTTTTTTCTGATTAGCATTTTTCCTACTTAACAGTAAAAAAAAATTCCAACAAGAGAATATGAAGTAAAAATGCTGATAATTTTGAAAAAACGGAGAAGTAAAATTATTTAAAGTTCGAATCCAGTTAAAAGAAATGTTCCGCAGAAATTCGGAGTACTTATCAAAAAGCGGCCAAACAGTAGATTTCGAAATAAGGTTTGAAGATAGATAATTATGTTTGTTTATATGTTTCTCTCCTAAAAAAATTTAAATAAATTGATAAATTTTTATAAACTTGAATTATATAAAACACAAGTTGGCGAATAGTATATTACGCTCGTAAAGTAAAAAAAAATTTTAACAATGGCATAGTAAGAAAAGAAGATGAGGTGTTATAAACATTATATATAAAACAGGCAACTAAACAAATATATGAAAAATATTGCTTCCTAACAAGAAGAATAAAAAAAAAATTAACAAAGTTGATAATTTTTTAAGCTAACTAAATTACCACTTCAGTGCATACCAAAATACAAAAGAAGAAAGCAAGCTAAAGCGCCATTTAAAACATTTTCTACATTATCTTCAAAGTTGTATTTATCCCTCAAAGTACAAATAAATAGATTTTCAAAAGCAGCAAAAAGCGAATTTTTAAGCTGCCAGCTGTTAATAAAGGCATCCCCACTTTGAATTAATAACTTATAGAAAAGCTCCCAATAAGGAGCTTTACAATGGGGAAGTGAACTGTTAAAGTAAAAAAAAAATTTAGATTAAAAGCTTCTAGGATAAAACATAGTAAAGAGTCAAACCTTTCTATAGCTTTATTTTTATTGTTTTTTAAAAATAGAAGCTGTTTTCTGCACCATTCTAGTAAAAGACGAAGCTTGTTTGGTATAAAAAAAAAAGAATTATCCAAAGTTTGGGAAGCTAGAAGAAGTTTTGCTTCCCAAGATAAGTGAGGGCCTTTTAAAGCTCTGACTACTTGCTCTTAATATATTGTTTTATCCACAAACATAGAGAGAGAAAAAAAACTTTAGGACCTGTTGTGCTAAAAGAGCATTCCACCGACATGAGCGACTACGTAATTGTAAAACAAAGAAGAGCAGAAAAGATAAGCTTCACGTAAAAGTAAATATCACGCGACCACACAAATATCATAACAAGTTTCAGAGTAGAAAAGATGAACGGGGAAAGGCTTCACGCAAAAGCTTTGAAAGGTGGAACAATGATGTGCGTGTAAACGGCTTTGAGAAAGTTTTTTTGCGTATTTCTCTATTCTAGTTCTTTTTCTCGTTGATTCTGTGCAACCCTCTCTTAGTGCCTAACTTTAAATAATAATCTAATTAATTCCACAAAATGTTTTAACACTTTTGAATTTATAAAAATATTACTTCGCCTATGTAAACTTTTTTTATTATTTGCTAAATATTTATAATAGTAAAGCATATCGTATTGAGACTTACATAAAGACAGGACAATACTTTACTTTTTTACCTTCGTTTTTTCTTATAGGAGTAAAACTACCTTTTAATTCTTTGGATACTCTTCCCGTCGTACCGCAGCTTACAGTTTCTATAACTGCTTTTACCTCTACATCTACTGTAGTTTAGGTTTAGACAGCTTAGAAAGTAGTGTTCTTCACTCGCATTCATTTTACTTATAATACTGTGGGCAATAACTATAGTTTTTTCTTTCTTACTTGTTTTACTACGTTTACTTTGGGCTACAATAAATTTACACTGACAAAAGTGTTGGTGGGCCTGCTTTAAATATAATATTTATAAAGCACCTCCATATCTCGGTTTTTCATCTGTATCCGTCTATAATAATAAAAGGATTTTTTTAAAATTTACAATTCTAAGCAATTTTTTAAAAACCTTCATTATGGTGTCTCCCAGATAATTAGGTTTGAAAAGATAGAGTAGAAGCTGACAAATTAAGAAAACTAATAGGTAAAAAGGTCCAACTCTTTAAATTTACTGGTAGCGGTAAAGGACTGGTGAGAGATTTAAGTAAACTCCTTTTTTTATTAAATGAAGGCTACTTCGTGAAGTAATTAGGTCAAAATTTTATTAGCAACAAAATTAAAATACGTAAGATTTAATAATAGCTTAAAAATGGATATTGACATCTAAAACTTGACTAAATGACTTTGTCATGTTGTTTTGGTTAAATTTTTATAATAACTGGTAAAAAACCTCAGTTCCACACATAATTCGGATTAAAACTTTATAAATATTTACAACATGGGTACGTTATAAAATTATTGTTAATAAGCTCTTAAGTAAATAAATCTATTTAGAAAAGATAAAAAGCTCGTTACAAAGCTAATGGCTGTCTTTTCGTCTTCAAAGTATATTTGGCCACGAAATAAGTTTCGAATTCTTAGAATTTACACTGAGTAACAACTGACGTCTAACTAATATGCAGTTGGAAGTGAGGTCAGTTGCTAATATTGAAAATTTTTAAATAAAGCTTAATATTTCTTAGTTTCATAATATTTAAAAAAACAAACAATTGAATAGGTTTATTCAAATAAATTACGGATTAACAATAACTTGTACCTCTCGTGATACAATTTTTGAAAAGTTGTGGTAGCCCGAAGTCTTTAACAGTAAACCCTCACCGATACAAAACTGAGTGAAATATAGCATCTCCGCTTTACTGCTGCGTAATGTCCTCTAAGGTTACTGGAAAAACTTTTGACTTTGGCTTTCTTCTCAAGTATTTAGATAAAAGTCAACATGGCTTAGTAGGCCAGCTTAGAAGTACGCACTCAAAGTGGAAAGAAAGGTTAATGAAATTTTCAAAATCTATTATTTCCCCCCATTTAAAGAAAAAACTCAAGATTAAAACAACTATAAACAACTACAGATAATAAATAATTATTTATAATTCCATTATATATATATTTCTAGAGTTAATTCTCTTTCCGACTCTCGTAAGATAAACTTTGATCGGTATAGAAATTTAATAAGGTAACAGTTTGGCCATGAACACAATTTTAGCTGGTTATTTGCTTTAGACATAAAGAAGTTGTGGACCTCACCGAAAAAAACTTTTCCAAACTAATCTTTCCCATACCTCAAGTTGAAGACTCTGAAATAATGTCCACCTACACCAAAAATGTAAAACTTTTTAGCCTTATAAACTGTTTTTCTCACTGTTTTTCTCTTGTTCAATTTGTATAAGCGCAAAGCTGTGGAGGAACTGACTAAAAATTTAGAGTCAACATTAAAATCTCTTCAGCAGGAATTACAAGATTTTCTAAAAGAAAAGCCCCTTACGGAGATGACCGTAAATTAATTGTTTCTTTTTTTTCTTTTTCCTATTATCCTTAGTTTTTACCTTTTTATAATAGTTGGATGAATTAATTAAGAAGTTTCCCGAGGAATATAGTAAGGCGGAGGAGGAAGTTAAAGGATATGGATCCAATAGAGTATACTTTTAAGCATAACCTAATAGAACTTTATCAATTTTTAGTTAGATTTTTTAAAATGTTCCAATCTTTTATGGTTACTATTATTTAGTGCTTTAGACACTAATTTGCTTTAATTCTTTTTATAATTCTTAAAAGAAAATTATTTTTAATTTTTTTTATATAGGAAAGCTCCATTTGATTACCAAACTTGAATTATTACTAGTGTTATGGCTTCTCTAATATTGCAATACTTATTCCTTTATATATTAATAAAGAAAAATTTTAAAATTTATATAGTATTATGCAAGTGTTGCATTACCTCCGCTTGACAAACAAAAATTACAATTTTTTCCAGCGAGATGCCTGACTTATTACAATGCTTTTTTTTGATCCACAGACGCTATATTTCCAAGCAACTTTAATAAATTTGTCTAAAGGCGCAGGCGTGCAATTCGGCAAGAAAATAAAAAAGCGGTCGAGTTTATATTTACATTTTTCAATTATTTTATTCCATAATTAATTTTAAAGATCACACTTTTAGTGAAATGTAACTATTGTAAGCTTGAATATTGCGCTTTAGCAGTTCTTCGCAGGGACCGAGAACCCTTTCAAAGCGATCGCGATCAAGTTTAACGCATTTCAAAAGGCCTGCGGCGGTCACCGTGGCTGCTCTCGGTCTGTTGGTGATCAAGGCAATCTCGCCAAAGTACTGCGATCTCCCCAGCCGGCCAACTACTATGGGGGGCTGACCGTTGCCCAGATCTTGTGTCACCACCGCTTCCCCCTGTAGGAAAAAGAAACGGGAAAGATTAAACTAAGTTGTAAGGCGACCGATTAATAAAAACCTCAATAATGAGATAGAATTCGTCTCCTCTATCGCCCTGCTTCACTACCGTCTCTCCGTCTTGAAAAGTAGCCTGCTCCAGAGCGTCCGCCACCGTCAGCCGCTCCCAATGGTCCAGCGGCTCTATAAAAGAAAGACGGGTCGGAAATAACTAAGGCAACTGGGAAAAAAAACAACCCAAAATTGGAACTCTCTCTAAAAAGTCGCTGTACATCTGTCTCTTGCGGATCGTATTGGCCATGACCACGTGGCGGTACGTGTCGCGATCGAGTGACCAGCACTTAACATCGCCGTTCGCCTGAAAAAGAGTATTTCATAGAAAATCTCGTACACTTGAGAAAAAAAATTCGAGTATACCTTGATGGTGGCCGCTCGAGGGGTGCCGTAAATAAGAGCAAGCTCTCCAAAACTGCCGTTCTTTCCTATAGAAGAAACCTTTTTTAAAGTTAAAGAGGTACATAACGATAATTAACAGATAATAAACTTTTGCAGGCGGGTGAGAGCCTTTTTGAACATAAACATCGACGCTCCCCGATTCCATAATGTAAAAATTATTCCCTTCTTCTCCTAAAAGTGAAGTCGAAGGTGAGCAAAAGAAGCTATATAATGAAGTCAGCTTAAAATGTAAAAATTTCTTTTAAAATTGATATTTACATTCCTCTGAAACAAAAAAAGCATCATAGAAAATAATGCTCTAAAGCAACAAGGGACCTTGCTTAATAATATAATCTCCGTCTTTAAATTCACACGGGGCCATCGCGTCAAAAATTTGACCTTTATTATTATAATAAACAGTAAGTAAAAAGATGGAACAAAACGCAGTTGTTATACTTTTATCGTCCTCATCCAAATGACTGAAAAGAAAATTAGTAGAGATAGCTTCTTTCAATCGATTCCTGGTTTCAAAATCTTTTGGTATTACAATCCTTTTAAAGTTTACTGACTGGAAAAGTTGGATAATTTATTAATTAAAGATGGATTTTTCAGGAGGAATACTTCATCTTCAGACATGACAGTGCCACTAACAGCACCCCTCCTGGCTCTGGATATGTCATGCTTCGGAGACGAAGAGGAAGACAATTTTGAGGCCGCTGGATCGCTATATTAAAGTAAACCAGCGAAACACACTTAAAGTAGCTAAAAAAAACGTTGTACTCTTTTTTTAACGACTCTAATTTATTATTGTTAACATAACTCAGTATATAGTTGTAAGGGTCCTTTGGCTTTTCTAAACAAAGTTGGCGGACTAACTCACTTAAATATTCCTAAATCCGAAGTTATAAAAATAACAAAAACACGATTTTGATTATAAAAAAAAGGGAAAAACCACTTTTAAAAAAAAGATTAAGACCTACCTCTATTTTTGTCTTGGTTAGATATTCTTTTGCTTCCTCGGTGGACATTCTAAACCAGCCAAAAAACAGTCACAAGGCATAGAGAGGTAAAAAAAAACCAATTGAAAAGGAATAAGAGGCCGTAAAAATGGAAATTTATATAAACCAGAAACAACTAACCAAAGTTAAGGCTAATTGGATAAGGAGAGCCAATTGTTCTTATATGGTATATAATGCTAAACGTGTAAAATTAAAAAAAGAAAAATAATTAGTGCACCGGATCCGTTATAATAAAGCTATTTACTAGTTATTCGGTAGATATAAATAAATAATCAACAAAAAAGCCTGATGAGACAGTTTTTGCTATATTATTTGCACCTTTTGGTTGTATTTCGCTCAATCTGAACGTTGTTGGGATTTATATGTTAGCAAGGGTAACGGCTTATTAGTCTGGATAAATCTTCAGCTTTAATATAAACTTCAGTCGCGCCTGGTAAACTAAGGGAAACATGTAAATTATAGTGTTAGTGACAATACTAAGAAAAAATTATGTGGGCTGGTAAAATATTTTTTTATAATTACAAAGTAATAATATTATATTATCCTATATTGCGAATTTCGCATAAAAAAAATTTTTATTAAAAAGGTACATATTGCTCCTCTTAAGAAGTTTAGACAATGTTACACGCAGTTCACATTAGTGTTTCTTATGTCCCTATAGACCAAATAAAGTAACATAATTGACTATATATTTAAATTATAAAAGAATTTAATTTTCGACGCTCAACATGTCACTAAGAGCAATAAACAAAAATATGTTATCTTAAGTCATTTCTTTCAAAATTAAGAAATATTCTAATTTTTCAAACTTTTTCTTGTTATATGCTTTCATACATTAACTTTTATTAATAAAAGTCTCTGAATTTATATACTAACTAATTTTTATTTTATATTTGAACGACTGATATAGATGCACCTTATTTTAAAGATTAAGACATACAATAATCTTTTTTCTTATTGGCTCTACAAAGTTGTAGTGTGTTCTTTAAAAGATGTGGATAACAATTAATTATGTTATTGGAAGCAAATATTTTTTTGTATGATTATAAACAAGTTTTTGTAAAGTAAAATTTTTAATATATAAATGAAAACTTTTATTTTCTCTGTGGTAAGTTCTAAAATTCATTATTCTATTACAAGAACTTAAGGGGAGATACGTATGTCAGTGTGAGAGACCAACTTTTTAAAATCGCCTTAAATATTTTCGCATGAAAAAACATAATAAACTCGTGCATTGATAATTATGTAAACTAATATATTTAATTTCTTTTATTAAGCTCGACGCGCCCCAAAGTTTCTGTCTATTTTTTTATAACAAAATTTCAAAATTTAATAAAACTATTTACGGGTAACAAAAAATTAATTTGTAGCTATCAAACGTTTTTAGAAGCTTCGACATGTTATACTTAATATAAATTAAGTAAATTCGTAAAATGGAAGGAGATAAGTAATTAGAAATATTTTTTTAGTTTGAGTTTAGAAGATTTCGTGCTAATAGTTTCGCTAAAAAAATACTTGAATTAACGTTATCAGAGTATAGGTTGTAACTAATTATTAAGTGAAGCTATAGTGTGTAGTTATTCTCTTATAATGTGTTATCCGAGGAGCGACTTAAGATCCGATTTTAAATTTCTTAGAACAAAATATTATAATAATCAATTTTTATAATTTTTAGTCAGCCCATAGGTGATAACAGCTCAAGACACATTACGTGTCTTAAAAGTAAAAAATCTTTATTAATTGCTCATTAATTAAGAAGATGGGGCTTTGATGCACACATCTCAGATTACCATTTAAGATTATGGCAAAAATGCTAAAGTGGAAGAATTTGTTTATTAAATAACTACTACCAAGGTTTTAGAGATGTTCCACACCAATTACTATTGCTACTAAAATAATTATTACACTCATGTAAAGACAACCTTAACAGTGATAATTTTTATAACTGTGTAATAGATTATTGAAAGAATAAACTTACACTATATAAATTTTTTTTCTTGATTCAGGTGAAAAACAAGATCTAAAATATATAATTTGAAAAAAAAAACAATATTTTAAAGGAGAGATGAGTCTGAGTTTATTATGAACATGTGAAAACAAAAAAAAATTAATTGTAAGGTCATAAGATGTCGTAATACTAATTTTTAAACAATTCGCTATTGAAACATACGATGGTAGCTGAAGGGAAAAAGATATTGCATAAACATTAGTTTACAGTGATTATTAGTTCATGGGCATTAAACGTTTTTTTTTAAATTTACTACTTAGGAAATTAATTTTTTGCATGAGCCATTATTATAATAATAAATGGTAGTATTGCTATTATTTAGGTATTGTAAACATATTTAGAAGTTATGCCTTAATCATTTAGCATATCATTACATAGCCAGTAACTCTCATAGGTGTAAAAAGGCAACACAAGTTTGAAGTATTATCAATGTATAATAAATAATTTGTCTTGTGTAGAACTTAAATAGAAGAAAGTAACGTATTTCATAATAAAAACCGCATTTTGTATATTGAATTTGATATATAACTATAATACAAAGTAACTTTATGAAAAGTCATCGAAGTTTTCATAACTAGTCCAATCGCGCTAGTAATGTAAAACAATGCTTAGTTATATTCTTATATAGGTTTACCCATCACAGGAAATAGCAGTAAGCTTCCATGAGAACAAGTGGTGCCACAATAAAGGCGACAGTCAGGAAATAATTAATTAATAAAAATGCTCTGTAGCCTTTTTAAAAGTAGCTAAACTATTACAAAATTTAAAACCAATATAGATGTAACTTCTAATGGACGCCAAAAAATATAACAGACCAAATATCTCCAAGTAGTGGATATGCTTCGACAAATTAAAAGAATAGTTAATTAGTTAAACGCTTCTCTTTTTTTATTTTATGTAATGACAAAGCAGCGGTTCTTAACAAATTTCTATCTGCTTTAAAAAGAACGCAATACTGTTAGAAGACTATAATTCAGATTTCAAGTTTACCTATCGTATACAAAGTTATTGTGTAAATCTGTCGACTAGAGTTTAGCGTTTCCAAGGTTTGAAGTAATATAATTTCAAGGCTATACAGAATTAGTTGAATGCAAATAACCTCTACCTGTCTCTGTAAAAACAGCACATTTTTAAGCACGACAGCTAATTAAGTTAGTTAAATTTAAGCTTAACTGTTTTCAGCTTCAAGCTAGTAACCTACTTTAAGAGAAATTCCCTTTTATGACCACTTGTGAAAATAAGTATAGCTTTAGAATAGTCACAAATTCTAACTAAAATAACGCCAAAATCACTACTAGTAAATGTGATTTCAAAACTAAATTCTTTATTCACACAAAGCTTGCGCTAGTAAAGCAAGCAAGGAAAGAGGAATATTTTCTATTGACCTTTTTAATTAACTTATTACTTTCTGCTATAAAAGATAATTAAGCTTTGAGGTGGGAAAAAGGTTATGACTACCAACGGTAAACGCTAACGAGTTAAAGAGGTGGTGGAGACTACCCAAAACACCATAGTTGTTAAAGTAATTATGTTCTAGTACATGTGACTAATATAATAAATTCAGGGCCTATAACAGATAATACTTTTTCTAATATTAGTTTTAGCTATCGATCTCTTGCTCCTAGTATTCATAAGGATTATCTAGATGCTTGAGTGCGGCGCGCTTGTTTCTTTGCTTAAAATAAAACTTAGCTCTTGAAAAAATAATAAAACCTAACTGCTGAGCTGTGTAAGCCGTAGGGCATATTAAACGTATAAGGCATCAATTACAAAATTTTAGGATGGAAAAGTTTTAAGACAAAAGGAAGTGCGAGCATACCGAACTATTTACGCTTTACCGCAGCTTGCACCGATATTGACATATCATACACTATTGCAATTTCAGTTTTCTACACGGAAGTAGGGTGAAACGCAACACTATTAATAATTACTCTACATATATTTACAGTCGGGCGCTGTAATTTCCTTCACGAACTTCACAAATGTCATCGTGGGCCAACACATGACAGAAAATATAATAAGACATGAAACAAATTAGGCAACAGAACCAACTAATAGACTAACTCTAACGGAAGCAAAGTATACAGCTTTTCTTGCGAATATAAAACGTCGCTATAAGTAAAATACTGACAGAAATGCGATCTATAGAAAATTAAATTAGCAGGCCCTTACCTTAACTTGACGTCTAAGTGAGTATTTATACTGAAAATAAAATATTAAGAAAAAATAAATTGCAACGTTGATTACTCAAGCTTAAATTGAAAATGTTGGTAACATTGAACCACCACAATAATTTTATTTCCACAAAAGTGGCATATAAAACATAAATCAAAAAAGCCTATAATTAGGGCATGAAAAGATACAGTAACTTAGTTATAAATACTTTTACGTTCCTCCACTATTGTTTATACTTGTTAACTCCAATATATTCACGGGAATAAACAGAGCGGTGCCTTTGTCTTTAACTTGGGAAGACTGTTTTCAAAAACTCTAACAGTAACGTGCATAATGGCGCAACTTTTATATAAACTAATTTTCCAAAAAAAAAAATAGTTTATTAATATTACATAGTCAACTTTTTAATTTTATCGTACTTAGCTAACTTCAGGAGCTTACGAGAGTATTACAACACTGAAGAGAATATGAATTTTCTATTCAAGAATCTATAACGACAGACGAAACTGGCGGAAAGTCAACAGCAAGTAAGTCTAAATCTTCGATAGGCTGTGGAATATACTGGCTGATATCCAGCGGGAGCCTGCGACTTAGTGCCTCGTCCACCAGGGCTTTATTCCGGTGCTGCTCATACTTAAACTTATTTTTAAGCTGCTTTCGCGTCCTTTTAGGAAAAAGGCGGTGCATCATAGAGAAGTCTGTTCCGCACTGACTGAGTGCTTCGTAAAATAACTGAGTATCCTCCAGTGACCATCTAGAGTTCGTTGTAGAGAATAGTAGGAAAAAAAATTCGGAAGACGCCAAAGCCTCACCTCTCAGAAGGCTCCCTTTTGCTGTAGGTGGAGTATGTTACGTGACGGCGGGCCACTGTGGTTACTGGAGGGCAAGGTTCGTGCGACTGGGCAACAACCGTGGTACCGCCGCTAATCTCTCCATCCACCAAACTTAACTGCCCGACCACATACTCCTGAACAGCGGGCGTTTCGTGGACTTCGCCGAGACTGGCTTGCTTAGCTTCAATCGTAAAGGATATTATCATAAAAATAATCAGAAGATAAGCCACTACCCAGAATCGAGAACGGATCTAATTCGTTTTCAGCATTTTCAATGTCTTTTATAAGTTGTGCAATCTTCTTTTCATCCGGGACTTTTCAAAAAGTACTATCAAAAAAATGTAAAAGCATGAAGTAAAAAAATAATAACCAGGTTGGGAACGCTCCAACTTCAGAAGCTTTCGATTAGCCTTCAAATTTCGTCGCACTCTTTCCGCCAACATAGGATTGGCCTTCGGATTTAAGAAAATAAATTCCCTCATAAGTAGATTGTGTGCACTCAGGTCTACAAAGAAAACTTCATTAAAAGCGGAGATTGCTTCATAACTTAGGAAAAACCCTCGTCGACTAGCTTAGTTCTCCTTCGTTTATTAGTTTCAAAGCAACAAGCTAGTTCGCTACGAATAACTTCAAGAGACTTTTGTAGCCGTTTTTTGCTTTTTTTAACTTTAACAAGCTTAAAAAAACGTAACTAATTTTGAGTCAAACAAAATATCCAAAAAAAAATTACTGCTTGACTTTTTTCAAGTAAAACTGGTGTAACGTCCGTGAGAACTACACTAGCAACGTTAGGATCCATATCCATAACTTTTTTCCTGTGTGTTTTTTTTTGTTTTCCCTTATTTATCTTTATTTTTCTAATTAATTTAGAAGAAAATTTTTTATTTTTCAACTTTTTATTTTCTAAACCAATCCCACTTTTAGTTTCAACCGAGTCGACATAAGCAGTAGCCCTATCAATAATTCCCTCAACAGAAAAATTACTAGGAAAAGTAAAATCATCGCCAAGATTAAACAAAGCATCGTCACATATATTTTTATTTTCACTATATTTATAATTTTCCATACAGGTTTTATAGTAATTTTGTTTGTTGTTATCGCTAACACCATTACAATCTTTTGAGTTATCAAACTCGTTAGTAAAACTTTTTACTTCGCAATCAGATCTCCCAACAAGAAAGGGAAGAGAAATTTTCTGTTCTCTTTGGTTTATTACAGAAGTGAAATGCAAATGATCTCTTTGATTTTGTTGAGAATCCTTGAGAGTATGTTCGCCTCCGTGCTTATAATCTCGAGAAAAAAAGCGTGTAGAGTTAATACTTAAAGGGGTTCCGACTTTATGTTGAGTTGATATAGGCTTAATCTCCTAAAAAAAATATTAAATTTATTTTTTTAATAAACTTAACTAGCATGTGAAACCATTACTGGATCTTCTTGGGGTAATTCACGTTTATGAAAAATGACCGGCTCTAAAAAATTTTCTTGACCAGAATCCATACAGACTTTTAAAAAATTTGAAGGAGTTTCCTCCCTCTACATAAGTAAAAAAATAACAGCAACTTTTTAATAAAAAGAAAGTAAATTATATAATATTTAAAAAGCTGTAAAGGTATTTTTTGAAGTTAAAATTATTTTAAATTACGTACTATAACAAGGAATCCCATAGTAAAAAAAGAATAAAAAATTAAAAACTACCGATTGTGTAGGAAAAGTTGCTACATCTTTGTTAATAGAAGGTTTTTCAAGCGTAAACCTAGGCCTTGCAGGAATAACTACGGAAAATTTCATTGCACCTGCTGCGGTAAACCTGCAAGGATACATTAGTTCATTTTAGCTGCACGTGCTTTTATACATTAAATGGAAACCCATTGTTGGCTATTTTACCGAGTTGCGTTTTTGTGTACTAAAACTATATACATATAAACGATGTCTCATCATGCTATCCATTTTTAAAGTTGTGTATAAAAGACTTTGTAGCTTCCTGCCTAGGTTATAGTAGGGCGCACGCATACTTTATAAAGGCGCAGTTAATTGCGCAGGGACATTGTGCTTTTAGCACAAAGCAGCGGGTAGAGTATATGAATTGCTGCTTTGACCTTATTCATAAGGAACTCTACGTGTTACCTTCAAGTCGCTTATTGACGATGACTCCCATGATTTAGCCTGAGAATCTGAAGGTTCTTAACACCTTCGAGGGTTAGAGGCGGGGGTAGCGCAATGTATCTTCTTGAGATAAAGACTGCTTTACTCTTCGTTCCATTAATGTTTACTCTCCACTGCCTACCAGTTGGCAAATGTTTCCAAATAATTCTGCAGGTATTGCCGTAATAATGAGGGGCTCTTTAGGAACGCGTAAACTGCAGTCTCATCGGCATAGGGTGCAAAGCGAGTGTGAGGGTTCGCAGGGAGTGGAACATCTCGCATGTATAGCTCGAAGAGTGGGGCGAGAGCAAAGAGCCTTGCGGAACACTAGCTGGCAGTCGACGGTATGGCGACAGTGCAGCCCCAACTCTCACTCGAAAGGTGCGTCTGCGTAGAAACGACTCAAGTGTGTTCTAGAGGTCTACGGAGTACCTAATGTGCGTAGTTTGTGTAGAAGACCCTCGTGCCACAGGTGGTCAAAGGCCTTTTCAACGAGAAATACGACGCCCGTAGATTTCTAAAAGTTGAAATTCTAAGTTGTCCACTCAACAAAGCGCAAAAGTTGTTGTGTCGTGAGTAGACTCTTCGGAATTCCAATTGGGGCCTTGGAAGCACTTTGTGTATTTCTACAAACTCTTTCAGCATGTGTAGTTGAGCCGCCTCTACGGTTTTTTTGCCCACTGCTGAAAGAAAGATATAGGGTGGTATGTGCCGGGGCCCGCTGAAGCACGCGGACTCTTGAGTAGCCTCACGAGAGTGACCGTTTTCCCTTGCGATGGTAAGGAACCAATGGCATAGCAGACAATGACATAGATGGAAGTTGCAAGACGAGAGAGATGCTTAATCGCCACCGGCGGCAGCTTTAAGCATTTCGTTAGTGTTACCGTCAGCTCCGGGTGCTTTTCGTAGTGAAAGTGCAGAAACTATATCAGTGATTTCGTCAGATGAGCTCGTTTTAATAGCCGTAATAAAATCTGGGGGCCCTGCAGCTCTTTCATTCGTCCTCAAAGATTGCCCAATTTGGAGGTACGCACTGTGCAGCTAGATGGTAGGCAAAAAGGTCGCCTTGCCTTCGTCGCTTTCCGCCACTATCACGCCATTATTAAATGGAGGAGATGATGTGTGTCCACGGTTTTAAATACGTTTAACGAAGTGCCAAAAAGATGACCGTACTTCCTCGGCGCTATAGACATATCCTGCAATTTCGGCTCCCAGCAGTTATTGTGAAAGGGCGCCGTCCCCTTTTTAATGTGTCGGTGAAGACATTTTAGAATCAGTGTGTCCTCAGGGTTTTGTGTAGCAGCAGCCAGGCGTATTAACCGGTGACGTTGACGAATAAGGCTGATCAACTAGCCCGGTGGACGGCCAGGGGAATACACGACTTCACGGCAGCATGGGCAGCTGTCTATGGGCCCGCAAACCCTTAACTGCGTCTTCTAATAGGGAGGGGGCAGAAGGGGTATACGGGCTCGAGGAACAGCGATGTTTCAACCGCGGCTGTAAATTTTGTCCAGTCCGTTAATGACCATGTCTCCCGAGTTTCCCTGTAGTCTTGCCTTTGCCTATTCCAATAAGACGAGAAGGTGGCCCGATGAAAGCTCGTGAAGCTCTGCGATTGCTACCGACTGATATATGTCTTTAAAAATGGCTATTTCGAGGGCTCTGAGATGCCCGTTTTTGCCATATGCATCGGACGTTGAGGTGCCAGCACGCGAATTTGTGGTCCGCGTATTTCCCAAGAATTATCCCTTTCGGGTTTTCAAACCGACTGTTCCAAGAAGAGTGTTTGCAGATAAAATCACCACAAAAGAACGACGGGTAAGTCGCGTCGTAGAAGCATCACGTCCGGAGGTTTACAGACGGATATCTCATCGCTCGGTCTAGTTTCAACCAAGTTGAGACGGGCCCCCACTGTCTTAAGATGTGGAAGTGTAATCAGGTGGGGCGGTTAGACCTTGCCGAACCGAACCAGAATAGCTACTCCACCTTCTCGTCTTTCAAGGCGTCAAGACGGTACGTTGTGTAGTTGGTGAGTAAAAGCCGATCGTCCGCTTTCAAGTGCGACTCACTTCACAACGTGACCCTCACATCTTCCCGTTGCCACAGCAGTTCGTCCTTGTTGCAGTGCGCACCGTTGGCATTCCACTGCAAGAGTTTTCCAGGTGGCGTAATGAATGGGTTTCAACAACCATTTGCGGTCGTCAGGTTGCTAATTGCTCGAAGAAATGTTTCAAGAGTTGCGAGTGGTGCCAGTTTTTCGCCAATGGGAGTCGAAGAAATAAGTCTTTGTTGGTGAGCGGGTTGCGCCGCATGAGGTTTCTGTCCCATCATGGCTGCAATAGAGATAGTCGGCGTAAATGGTGACGGTGGCGTAGAAACGATTTTGCCAGGATATTTTAAAACCCTCGGTAATTTGCAGTGTGGGTCTCGCCACCTTTAAAGCATTTGGCGGGCAATTTTAGGGATTTCTCAAATTGAACCGTTAGATAGTTTGCTCCACATTTGGTGCAGCGTGGAGTACTGGCACAATTCTGTGCGCTGACACCATGAAACTGCCCATGCCGTCCCTCTTACGAAGTGTCTCAAGCTTATTTGCAAGTGACATAATCATTGCAATGCGGTAGGCTGCTGGCCCTTCCTCCTTCGTTCGGCGAGTGTATAAGAACAGGTGGTAGATGACCGATTAATGCGGTGTTCTCGCCGTTTGGGTGAGTTATAGAAAGTCGTACTATGCGGAGGGGTGAACATCCCTGAGAACGTAGCGCCGTTTCAAAGTGGACTATAGGTAGATCGGTGTAAAGACCTCGAAGAACGATCTTCACGGGTTTGTCCTGGGAGTAACTGGTAGCAGTAGCGTTGCCAACAGCGCTCCCGTAGTAGTGCTAATATTCTGAGTAGTCCTCGGCAGTTGCTGGCAACAGCGGATGCCGTTGCGGAGATCACGGAAGGAGGAACCTTTGCGCCCTGAGTGTTCAGGCATTCCACTAACGTAGGCTACATTATCTTGTCAACGGAGCGATAGGGGGTATTTTTACTTTAAGCGTCGGTGGTTCTCTCGGGGCTGCACGCGTTTTGGCTGGTACTTCAGAGTTCAGGTCTTTTTCCGTTCTATCCAATTTGGTGGGGTAAACGGTTGTTGTTTCTGACGGGTGGGGTGGTAAAGGCGATTTTTGGTTTATATCATTCTTTCTATTACAATTACAGTTACTAATTTTCTTATTATTTTTATTATTAATATTACCGTAAGTATTATCATGGTTACTATTATGACTGCCGTAATTATATTTTAAAAGTTTGCTACCATTATTAATAATTTTATTAAGAAAATTATTCTTAATACTAATATCACTACTTGAGAGCGTTCTAGGTAGTTCACAATACTCCAGAATGTCCTCTTTTAATGATCAAGGTTTGTCTAAAAGATATAGCGCAGAAAAGAATTAGTATTTGTAATTACTTTTGGTTCAAAAGGTTCTTTGAACCTTTTTAGCGCTTTCCTGGAATTTTTTTATTTTCCAGTTGATGAAGTTTTGCCTTTAAGAATTTAATTCATCTTTCAAAGTCGCTTTGGCAATTAACAAAGTTGTTAATTAGATCTTGTTGTTAAGTATTTGTGGATGAAGTACCAGTTATAAACGTTCAAAAAGAAATTAATATATAAATTGGTAAAGTACCGTTATAAAAATAATAGAGATATGTATATAAAGGTAGGTGCAAGTATATATATGTAGCTAATAATTTATATAGGCGTTGAGCAAAAAAATAGTAATAAATATGAAAATAAATAAGATATTTATAGCAAATCCGTAGTAAGAAGTAGAGGCGCGGAGGCCGCATAGGATAATGCTTGAGGGCTCTAACTTCCACCCTAATCTCTTAATTTAAATAGCTACATACACAAAATGTCGCATTTTGGAGTATTCTCAAATATACTACAGGCACCCATTCACATAAAGAACAGAGTGGTTATTAAAATCTTGTCTTGTGGAATAATATTTATACCCTCAGGGAAATATACAATTGTGGGACAAACAAAATAAAAACATGCGCACGTAATAAAATCACGTTCTTTAATATGGACGTCAATCCTCAACCGAGGAGCACAATGATGACAACTCTCAATCCAGGTATGTTTGACGTAATAAATTGGTTTCTTTCTCAGTTAAGTTTTTATGTATAAGGTAAAGATGTTTTCGGTTACGTCTGCCTTTGAACTTCAATTATAACCATCTGCGATTTTTCTCTTACTGTAAATGAAGTAATTTTTACGTTTTAATTATGCTGCTATTTAAGTGGCAGACCTGTTCATAAGTGCCTTATATAGACGTCCTCTTCTGGCGGTGTTCATTATTTTACAAAGTTTCACAATAGTCAAAAACATTATAATTTAAGTGAGGAAAATGTCGTTATTCTAACAGCAGTTTTGTATTCTTTATTATACAGTTGGGCTCCCCTAAGACATTCCTATTTTAAATCCTTTTTTTACAGCGTTAGGAGAGTTGTCAAACTCCTCGCAATCGCTGCTTTTTTTAATATAGTGCACGTTACTTCCTCTAAATGCTTTTAACTTACTAAAAAGCTTAATAAGTCACTTCGCTAAATAAAATTTTGACCTGGT